TCTGGATGAAATTTTTTTTTTTATAAAATGACCTAGTATGAGATGAAAATATAAATTAAAGATGTCACAGAAATATAAAAAGAGTTAAGTGTTAATTTACACAGCATAATTTAACCACACAGTTATATTTTACCCAACTAAATTTGAATATTTCATAAAACAACTCCAAATACCGGTTGAATACTCTGACTCATTATTCATTTGCTTTCCCAAAGCTTGCCTTATTCGTTTTGGGGCAATCTCTTGAAGGTGGGTTTGTTAGTTTTAGTCGGAACTCGGAAGTCAAATCGAATGAAGAAGGGGACAGCTCGAACCGCCCCATTCTTCTCCAGTAATCACACGTGAAATCCAGACAAAAGCGGGACCCAATACAACCACACGTGTCAACCAAACAAAAATAGATGGTCCCATCTAATAAAGGGTTGACTTTTGGAGAAAACGTCCACGGGGTTTTGTTGCCTACAACAGAACCGACGGCCAGCAGTAGATAGCGAATGCGAACCTAAGCCCACTCTGACAGTCAACCACACAGCACAACACAAACGTTGTCTGTATGTGTTCGTTTTGCAAAGTCAAAGCCACAACCAGACATAACTTCCCTCACTTTGAAGCAACCACTCACTCTTTTGTACCTTATTTTTTTATGCATTAGGTTACTTTGCTAACTACAGTTGTTGCCTTCCTATTATTGACTTATTAGATTACTTAATTATTTTTTTTTTTTTAAGATTTTAATAAGCATTGTCACACCCTTTTTAAGTTATAGAATTAATTTTTTCTTTCAGGTTCGTTCATGTCCCAATTAAGTTTAGTATTTCTAAATTTAATACAATTTCTGTTTTAATGTTGGTTTATTTATTATGAACATTCCTTTTCTTTCCTTGTTCATGTCTTGAGAATGTGAAACTTATTGCTTATTCCTACACTGGATTAATTATTAATACGGTTGATTTTTAATATAGGCTTTAATTACTCCATAAATTTTAATTTTTAGTATGTTTTTGAATTATTTATAACCTTTATTTTGTAATCAAATAATAAGCTAATTCTAATTTTAGCATTCAATTCAATTTAAATTGGAATTTGCTATGTTGATTAAATGAAAAAAAATATTCCAACAAGAATTTGAGCCAAAATATGCTAAATGCATTGTTTTTAACTCTAAAATTTCATTTTATTTTTCTCTTATAAAGATTTGATTGAAAATAAGAAATCAACGAAGATTTTAGGAATACAAAATATGTTTAAATCTTTGTTGGATTCTTTCATATTTAAAGAATAAATATTTTTCATCAGAAAAATTTAATTTAAATTCAATAGTTGAGTTACCAAGGAGGTGTGGTATAATTGGTATTCCTAGCTCTCGTAGTAGATATAGTGAGTGAGAGGTCTCGAATTCTAGTTCTCTCTACTATAAAGTTATCACCAATTTAGTGAATATTATTTAAAGGAGAGGATTGTCCTCTGCTATACAGCCCACAATGTTATTCCCGTCTGTTAGGCCTCTCATATATAAAAAAAATTTCAATAATTGAGTTGCATACTAACATTGAAATTAGTTATAAAAAACAAGGATTATAGAATTTAAGAACATTTAGAACTTCAAATTTTTTATGTAATTAATCATGTATTATATGCATTTGCTTTTTTGATGATAAATTTAAGGCCATGTTTGGTAGATAGAATGGAATTAATAAGATTAAAATATTAAATTAAAATAAAAATGGAATTAGGAATAAAGAATGATATTCCTATTCCTATGTTTGGTATTCAACATGGATAAGAACTCTAATTCAATTCATATGTTTACTTGTAACAATGAGGGAAGAAACGGATGGAAAATCACTAACAACACCAAAAGACAAGAATAAAAAAGGTATATTTGATATTTTGCACCATGAGGACATACTTGTTGCTTTGAACAAAAAAATATATATATACTTCCTCTGTCTCATTTTATTTGCTTGTTATTTCTTTTTTGAATGTCTTAAAATATTTGCAAGGCTTCTAAAGTTATATATTTTAACAATTACTTTCTTCATAATAAAATTTATGATTTTTTATTAAATGAAAGATTTTTATTACCGACTTTGTTCCATAATACTTGTCACATTTGAAATTTCACATTTTTTTAAGAAAACCATTAAATTTATTTAAGTTATAATAAATTATGGGGTAAATTGACTATATTACCTTTAATTTAATGATAATTCTCTAAGAAAATCATTAAATTGAATATAATTAAATTTATTTAAGTTATAATAAATTATGGGGTAAATTGACTATATTACCTTTAATTTAATGATAATTCTCTAAGAAAATCATTAAATTGAAGTAACAATTATTGATCATATACAAAGGATAAACATGAAAAAAAAGATTTATTAATCCTTGAAATCACAAATGTGATACGTATTTTGAAACAAATTATTCTCTCAAATGTGACAAGTATTATGGAACGGAGGTAGTAATATCTTAATGAGTTAGGGGTGAAAAAGGAAAAAATAATTTTTATTGACTAAATTCTTAATATACGTATTTTATCCAACCATGCAGACAAAATAAGACGGAAATAATATTAATTAGGGAATTCCTACTCCTTGTCTATGCCCTTTTTATTTTTTATTTTCTCCCTTTACTTAATTATAATAGTGAACCAATTGAACAAAGAATTGAAATTTCGTTCTTTTTATTTTTAATTATTGTTTTTAAAATAACTAATAAAGTTTTTTTAAATAACAAAAAATATTATTTTTTGAGAATTTTAAAATAAAATTTGAATAAGAATTTTTTTAAAAGGATACTTTGACACCTCTATTCAATTTGCTTTCAAAGTGAAGAAAATATATATACTAAAATCCAATTTAATTATATTTGTTATCAGATTTCTTATGCATCAAAAATTTTAAACAGAACAATAATACAAATGAATAACTTTCCTTCTATAAATAAATTAATAATAATAATATATCTTCTACCACTAATGTATATACAAATACAATGCCACAGAAAAATTCATATAGTAGAGAATAATACAAACAAAACTCTAATTTTTTTTTTAAAAAACAAAAAATGGTTGACCCATGCCTTTGTTGAAATCATGAAATGGGTAAGATATAGCCACCTATCTATCTATAATCTAAGAAGCTTTATTTGGTCCACTTCAATTCATCTATCCCATCAAAAACTATACAACAAGACAAACAAAACACTAAATGAAATCACACACACACATGCCTTGTGTAAAAATTATATATGATGACTCTTTAACCAATAGCCCTAAATTCCCTCAACAACTTACTTGCCCGAAACCATCTTCAGCTTTTGCCTGTGTAAGTATGTCCATGCTAGATGCTGTCAATTACCTTGCTATGCAACCTAGAAACCATGCCCCATATTATTAAATAAATAATTAATTAATTAATTAGGTGGTGACCCATGTGTACTAAAATGTTACCAGTTGAAGGTCACGGAATTCCCTATCAAAAGTCAAAATACAAAACAATAAAATATATTGATACGTTAATTTTGTGTATGTATTAGATAAGATAATAATTGCAATTAAATAAAATATTCTAAAATAGTCTTATTCATAGTCAATTCGAAAATTACATTTTATATCAACGAATGTTTGGATGAGTGGTTCGACACTTTTTTTCTCTGAGATGAGGTCGGGAGTTCCATCGTTATGGATGAAGCAAATACTCGTTCTTATACAGAACTAGTGCCATTAGGATTTAGTTCTCTAGCTCAGTGGACTCAGGATACCTGCGGTTCATACGAAAAAAAAATTACATTTGATTATTTGATTGGATATAATTTCTAAAAATTATTTTTTAGATAAATAAATATATATAATAAAAAAGAAAAAAAGTTTATTCTTTTTTTTTATAGTTGTAGGAAAAATTATGAGTTTATTTGGAGACGATACAACGTTTCTTTTATGTAATCTTTTTTTTATTACTTAACTAACTTATTTATTTATTTTAAATTTGCAATTTAGAACAATAGAGAAATAAAATACTTATATAAACTCATTAACCGACCAATATTGGGTCTTAGCATGATTTGCTTTATAATTTTCATTTATTTACTTAGCTTTATTTTTTCTATCAAATTTAATCAAAATATAGCATTTTTAGGGTTATTTTTGAAATTCAAATCGATAATTTTTTTAATATAATTTTTATTTCTTGGTATATGTTGAGTTTCTTGCAATAAATAGATGGCCTCCTGATCAAGCATTTTTAATTTTCTTGATATTTTTTCTTTTATATCCTAAATATATTTGACTTGAAAGAAAATAGTGTTTATAAAATAAACTAGAACTATATATTTTTGTTTTGGATCATTTTTTAGGTTTCAAGAGTTTATATGTATGTTCATATATTCCTTTCTCTAATGCACCGGGTAAATAATACTACTACCATTATAGCCAAAATGATTACCATTATTAATTCAAATCATCTTCTCATTTCTTTTCTTTTACCTACCAATAAAAAAATTTATTATTATTTTTTATTATAGCTGTATATATATATTGATTTGGGATTAAGGGCAAGGGTTAGGGATTGAGTGATATTAGATTTTTTTTTTGAGCACCTATCCGGGTTTTAAGAATCTATATTTATAAATTAGGGACTGAAGGATTAGATATAGGGATTTGATTGAACTTTATTTTGAGACTACTTCATTATATAAAAATAGAATTAATTACATAAGAAATAACATTGCCAGTAGCTTTGACGACAAAATCTAATGCAAATTAACAAATTATATTTATTTTAATATAAATGTTATATTTTAATATTATATAGATAAACAATTAAAAGAATATAAAAAATGAAAATATAACGAGCATGTCAACCTGCAAGTCATGTCTGACCAGTAATAATAAAAGTGAAAGTAGAAAAATACACATGAGAAAATTCTTATCTCTAAATAAAAATAATATATAAATGGATTTTGATCTTAAGGTTAAGAAGGCACGTATACATCACAATTCAAAACTTGCTCCTCATCGACTCCACTCTCTCATATACTTTATAAAACCTTTCTCTCTTACTGACTACTTCTTATCAATTTCTTTTGGCTTATGTTGTGCCACATTCTGTAGCAGTCGTTGATATTCTTCTTCTTCTTCTTCTTCTTCTTCTTCTTCTTTTCTAAATGCACAAACAGATAAATTGAGTTGTACAATAATAATAATGGAGGAGGAAGTAAAAGCCGCCATGACTAACTGGCTGGAAGGAGCAGAAGATGAGCTCGTAACAGAGCTTCTCGATAATGAATCTCCTTTCTTTCTATTACCAAATGACACAGTCGAATCCAAACCAAACCCTTCAGACGATGAAACTACAATTGCTCGACTCATTTCTACGGTATATTCTGGGCCAACAATTCATGATATAGAAAATGCTTTATCGATCACAGCAAACCACAGACTGCAATCGCAGCAAGTTGTTTCCCAAGCCAGGTTTTATTTTACTTTCTTTTAGTTTATTTTTAACCGTATTACTAAATTTTTAAAAAACAATATTCAATTTAATTAATTGTTGCAGAGTTTCCATGTTCGAGAGAGGTTTCAGCAAAATTGAGAATAATAAGTATACTCTGAAACTCAAGACTTGTGGCAATGGAATGGCTGATGATGGTTATAAATGGAGAAAGTATGGGCAAAAATCTATTAAGAACAGCCAAAATCCTAGGTAATAACTAGCAATTCTCTTCTTTATTTTCAATTTTCTTTTACTTTATCATATGCTAATCAATCCATTTCAAATTGGCTAATTTTAATCTTATTAAATAGCTTAGCTCAATACTTTGTTTTCATAGCTAAATATATATTTTTATTCAATCACCATATTTTCATTTTTTTTCCTAAAAGAAGAGGAGAGTGGTTGTTAATCATTCTTTGAATGTTCATCTATAAATTCTTTAATGAAGTCACACTGTCTCTTACCACCTGAGCTAGGCTGAGGTGACCTAACCTAATTGTCCTCTATGCATTTTTCCACAATATTGCATTAGGTTTTGTAACCTATCTAGTAAAAAGGCAGTGACCTTCTAACAAGAAAATCGTCTAAATTTACCATTATTACCATTTTCCTTGCCAATTTGGGTTTGACATGAAAATACGTTAGAATGAGGCAGCTAGATTTAATTAATTTAATGTGTGAAATGTCACAAATCAAAGGCAGAAAGGAATCTTTTTAGTAGCCCGAATAGTCTTTTTCATCCATCTTGGATTATGGTAAACTTGTGATAGCGTTCACCTCATATGTTTTATGGCTATCTTCCTTTGTAGTAAGCATTACGTTTTCATTTATACTTAATATCTATTCATTTGGATGCATATGTGTATCCACAATCATATCATCAAGCATGTGCATTCTTTATTTCAAGTTTTACCATGAAAATTTCATTTCATTTCAACCAAGCTTGGTTGAGTGAAATTAAATAATAAATATAATTTTGAAAATATAATATGTATATGAATAGTTCTTAAAAAGAAAAGAAAAAAATAAACCAATCAAATCTATTTTAACTTGGATTGAACTCTCTAGACTCGATCCATGACCATATTCTTAGAAAAAACAATGAAAAATAATTTTTGAAACAAAGATATTTCTAACCACTCTAATCCATACTTTTATTCGTCTGGTTTATGGGTGAGGTCATAGACTCGGTCTTGACCGTTCTAATCCATATTCAACTAAATGAGTTCCTAAGTCCAACTAGCTACTCATTTGATTTTTATAGTAAAAATCCTCAATATGTTACTCCTAATAGTAGCCTTATCTTTCTTTTTAAATACAGCACCTCCTTATTTTATAAGTAAAAAATTTCCTTACTTTAAATTTGCAAACATAGGTGTCGGTTGAGAAGAAAACGAAGAATGTATATTCAACTTTGTATTTAAGGCATTCTGTCTTGCGTCTACTCAGATTTGTCCTAATCTGCTCAACTTCTCCCATATCTTTTATTATAATGGAAGAGATCATGGCAACTTTAAATATTCATATACAGAAATATACACCTTAATTATTAGACCTTAGTCAACTTACAACTTTATTTAACTTAATAGTAGCAAACCTTAATACTTCAATTACTCCCAAGTGGTTCGATTAATTACATTTAGATCATGAAAGATTGTAAACATTGAGTTCAAACTCTATTTTCATTTGATTCTAATGATTAAAAGAAAGGTTTTTTGACAAATTTTCTTTTATGGTAACAGGAGCTACTACAGGTGCACAAACCCAAGATGCAGTGCAAAAAAGCAAGTAGAAAGATCAAGCGAGGATCAAGACACACTCATTATAACCTATGAAGGACTCCATTTACACTTTGCATATCCATATTTCTTAGTAGACCAACCTGATATTATAAACCCACCATTGAAGAAGCCCAAGAAGCCCATTACAGAAGCTGAAACCCAACAAGCACCAGAAGAGGCCCAAGAATTGGGCCCATCAAATTCACATGCAAGTGCAACCACTGCCTCATTTGAAGATTGCATGCAAGAATCAATCATGGAAGCAGAAGGGCCTCAAGGACTACTTGAAGATGTTGTGCCTTTCATGATCAGGAATCCATCAAACAACAATAATGTGTCTTCAAATTCTTCTTCTTGTTCTCCTCCTACTTCACCCAATTCTTCCTTGTCTTGGTCCTCCAATCATTCCCATTCATGTTTTGATATTGGCTTAAACATTAGAATTAGGTGAAGTAATGTACATTCCTTAAGTGGGTCAAAACCCAATAGTCTCTCTTCCTTCCTTGACTTATTCTGTTATTTGTGGCCTAGACAATGTTGTGAAATAATGTAAAATTATAATATCAATTAATACTTCCTCCCACAAAGATATGTTTATTTTTTCTTCCTGCAATAAGCTAATGGCAGAAAGGAGAGGATGTAGTGAATGAGATTAAATAACCAACTAACAGATAATCTCAAATCTCAAAAGGCTAAGATAATATGATTTAAAAATTGCATGTTACTAGGACTAGCAATTTACAAACATAAACAAAAGTCATTAGTTCACCAACCATTTCTAGCATCCCCTTCAAAGACAACACCACCATAGCCATGACCTTTTGCCAAGCCTCTCTGAAAGCCAAAGCTCCCAAATTTGAAGATCAGTTTGAATCAACGGAAACTATCAAACATCACTTGGGAAACAAAATAATCATGGCATGAGGTGAAGCTCTCTGGAAGCTTAACAATTTTTGAGAAACTTCAAGCACAAAATCTAATGTATGTGTAACATGCGGATGTTCAGCATCATATATGATGAGCTTCTCCAATACTCCTGCATTCTTAAGCAAAAACTCCACAAAATTTAGTACAAGTTCATACCCATCAACGCTTGCATTAAGGCCAATGATCTCAACAGTCTTCAGATGCGATGACAAACAAGTGAAAACTGTCTTCTGTAACATCAAATAGCACTCTGCTACTTCATAGGAGTCCAGGTCATCATAATCACATAAATACTGCAGATAAATAGCATCTGAGAGATAATCAATACAAAGTTATTTATCAAGTAGTAAATTTTTAGGTCCGGGGTTCTCCAAACAGTTAATGAAAATTGACTTCAAAGAAGGTAGCTTAAATTTATATGACTATTAATACCATGGAATTCATTTCAAATTTCACGTTTAGATATTAGGTATGAATGGAAATGTTCATTTCAAACCCCACCTCCTCCCCCAACAATAATAAGAAAAAAAAAAAAAAGTTGATTCTTTTTCATGGAAAACAATATGACTAAACTGAATTCTACATTTCAAAGCAGCAAGCAAGAATTTAAAACTTTGTTCAGGTAAATGTACCTGCTCACATCTGCCATCGCAGAACTTTGTGACTAATTTCTCTAGCTCAGGTGAAATTCGAAGTAACCTTACAATCCCATGGAGGTCCAAGTCAAATTTGGAAGCATCTATTGTTAAGCATTTGGTCTTTAACAATGAAATGGTTGATCTTCCACTTCCAAACATGATATATCACAGCCTAACTCTAAGACCTAATATACAAAATCCTCCACTTCCGAAAATGATATAGCCTTCAGATATAAAAATGCAAGATGCAATAAAGCAGTCAAAACAGAGTGAGAGAAAAAGTTCAACTTCGAATAATGAGAAAACCAAATAAAAATTATAGCTCTAAGAAACGCACGCGAGGGGAAAGAAATTGCCTGCAGAGACCAAGTCCCCATTTTTAGCTCCTTAACATGCATAACCTGGTTAAAAAGATGCTCGACATCATTGTGCTCGTCATCTATATCAAAATCAAGAGTAGGGCAGACTAAAAATGGCAAATCGACTAACATATTATTTTCGAAAAAGTAGCATTCGGCCAAAATTTCAAAATTCTAGACACAAGGACCTGAAATTTTAAGCACATATTGCTCTCTGTCTTTAGGATCAAAAGGATTTAAAGCCAACCTTTTCAAACGTTTTGAATCAATATGCAGATGATCAAACCCATCGTTAAAGAAGATGCCCAGTTCTAACGATTCAAGCAAAGGACTGCCAGATAAAATATTTCCAACCACTTCATTTGTTAACTTAGCACATTCTATACGCAAAGCCCTGGAAATGGATTCTCCTCATTCTATTACAAATGTTTTAGTTTTTTATGTTCCTCGTTCGTCAAGTTTTTTCACTTAGTATTGAGAAACTAGGGTGGACGTATGAGGTGGACTTATTGGTCCGTGTTATAGCGAGTCTTATTGCTAAATTTTTTCCAGTAATTTATTAATAAAATTTTAAGATTCAAAAAATTTAATGGGAAATGGTTAGAAAGATATTAAAGTGTAGATTTATAAAATTATAATTTTTATATAAATAAAAAATCTCGTTACATTAAAAATAATGAATAAATTGAAAAATTACATTATTTAATGTAAATAGATTTCATTTTTTATTATTTTTTCATTTTTTTTCCTTCCCAAACAAAGCATTAATTTTGAAAGGCTTAATTATAAATTTAGTGTCTCAACTTTAGTGTGTGTTTACTCATAGAAAATAATTTTCTGTTTTCTAAGAAAATGAAAACTAGAAAACAGAAAATGAAAAATGCGTTTACTTGGTAATAATAAAAAATAATATTTTGATTTAACTTCATAAACATTATTCATAATTTTTATAATTAAAAGAAATAAAATGTTATAAAATAAATTTAAAAATTTTTTATTTAAAAGTTTTTGAATTTTTATTATTGATTATTTATAATAATAACATCATTTTTTGTCTTTTTGTAAAATTTTTTAAAAATAAACACATACTGTATTTGTAATAATAAAATTATTTATTTATTAAATCATAATATAAATTTTCGCAGAAGATATGGTCCTTTGATTCTTTACTGAAGTTTGTTGGTTGTGATGTGAGTAAGTGGCTGTTACTAGCTCCTTCTTTGGAGTCTTCTGTTTTCTCTACTCATTCTCCGGTTCAAGTGTTGACTCTGACCCTACGGTGGATTTGGAAATGGCGGAATGACTTCATTTTCAATAATACCTTAGCTCCTATTTCTACTCGTTTCTCTCTTTTGACATCTTAGATTAGTGCTAATGCTGAGGTTTGGATGCGGCATGGCACTCCTGCAACGGGTGCTAGGACTATCCAGATGATCGCTCGGGAGCCTCCATCTTATGGATGGTTTAAGCTCAACACTGAAGGGGCTTCTAAAGGGAATCTAGGCAGAGGTGGTGCAGGTGGGGCCCTTCACGATCATTTAGGCATTTGGTGTGGTGGTTTTCAAGTTCGTCTTGGAATATGTACTTCAATGGAAGCGGAATTGAGGACTGCGTTTCATGGTCTATGTCTTGCCCAGGGCAAAGGTTTTCGACAAGTTCTGGTGGAAATGGACTCAAAAAGTTCTTTGGAACTGATTTCAGCTTACTCTTCTAAGAATTTGAGACTACACAATTTATTATCCCAGATTCAAGAGCTGTTGCGGTGATCATGGACTGTCCGTTTCCAGCACTGTTTTCGGAAGGCCAATGAAGTTGCTGATAGTCTTGCTAATGCTGGGGTTTTTTGTGAGAAGGGTTGTCATGTTTTCGTTCATCCCCCTCCGGTATTTCTACTTTTTTAGCACGGGATTGCCAGCATGTGGGTTGGCCTAGGCTCCTCAAATGTGGTTAGGTCCTCCTTTGTTCTTTTTCGGGGCTTTCTTTCCCTCCTTCTTATCCAACAATAAAAAAGGTTTTATGTTATTTAAAAATTTTTATTTTTTCAATGAAAATATTTTATAGAAAAAAATTATTTATAGATTTTATAATTTTAATTATGAAAATGCCATTTTTAAAAAATAGAAAACAGTTATAAAACGTGTCTTTTGTTATAAAAGAAAACTCGAAAAAATAATTTAAAGCTGTTTTTCAAATCTTAGTTAAATTTTAAAAAACTATAAAACTGTTTTTTAGTTTTCCAAATAGAAAACTAACTGATTTAAACACAAAACTCTGTTTTCTAATTTTTTTAAACAATTTTTCAAAAAAACTACTCTAGTTTTCTACAAGTGAACACACCCTTAAATTTTTTTTCTATTTTGATGTCTCAATAGAAAAGTTTTACAATCAAATACGTGAACTCTAAAATTACTTTTAATCAAGTGCCTCCATCCTAGGTAGCATGCCGAAATACAAATAGGTCGGGAAAGTCCTATTAAAGATTTAAAATGAAGCTAAATAGGATGACACATATATTACCACGTTGGATTGACGTGTAAAAGACATTATTAGAATTTATAAAATGGCATTATTATCCTTACTATTGCTTTCACGCAACGCAACAGTCCCAAAAGAAGGTGAACACTAAACATAGAGGAGGGAGACAAAATGACGGTAGTAGTTGTAGTAAGTTAAGACTTCAATAGCTAAACAGTTTGTGTTTTCATTATCATCAACAATAATACCATCATATTCGTCGTGGCAGAGCAAAATCTCATTGTCGGTTGCTCTTCCACTTGTCAATTCTCAATCTCGTTCCTTCTCCTCCCAAACTCGCCGGTAACCTAGCTTTTAGATTCAAGTCTAATTCCACTGGAATAATCTATCTACTCTATAAGTTTTTTTTTTCTTGTTTATCAAATTGAATTAGATCCACTAAAAATGAAACACTAGTTATTCTTTAATATTTTTTTAATTTATTGAATTTATTTTTACAGAAAAATTGGAAAAAGGTTATCTTCTTTTTAGATAATTTTGAAACCAGGTGCCAATCTTTTGAATTTATAGAATTTATGTTCTTTTTAGGTAATCCTAAACTAGAATTTTTTTGTTTATTTTTTTTGGTACAATACTGTGTCTCCCTCCCTCTCCATTCAGTATATTGCCTATGTTGTTTGGAAAAAACCCAGTTGAATTTAAGAATTTGTGATACAGAAGCTCAACTTCTTGAGGATTAGAGTTTGGTTACTTGAATGCTTGATGATACAATTAAAGATTAATGAATAACTGGATTACAAGAATAGCAGGTATCCTGAACTTGACATAATCAAGCTTATTCATAAAAAGTTGAACCGAAGCTTTATTGTCTTTCTCTAGTGCCATGCAAGCATAATCAACATCATTTTGAATAAACCATTCTTCTAGTTTTAAAGGGCACAACACCATCTCATAAATCCTAGTAATGGTTTTTACATGTCAATCCAATATGATAGTATATGTGCCGTCCTAGTTAGCTTCATTTTAAATATTCAGTAAACTCTTTCCATCATATTTGTATTTTTGACATGCCACGTACGATAAAGACACCCGATTGAAAATAATTTGGGGGTTCGTACACTTGATTACAAAAGTTTTTTGTTGAGACACGAAAATAAAAAAAATCGGAGAGTTGAGACACTAAATTTATAATTAAGCCATTTTGATTTATCAAATTATTTTATTATTTTAAAATGTATTTATTGAATTATATATATATATATATAAACACTGCAATAGTAAATTCAATAATAATAATAATAAATCAATAAATAAATAAAAATTATATTTACATTTCTCTTCCCAATTTATTAATTCAGTTTTAGTGAAACTCTTTCAAAACTCAAAAACTCAAATCATATCAAATACTTGAATGTATGAAATATAGCAATAAAAATATATATTATTATAATAATAATATGAATATAAATCAATAAAATATAATAAAATTATATTTACGATTTTTTTTCTCTTCGCCAATTTATTAATTCAGTTTTAGTGAAAGCTCTTTCAAACTCAAAAAACTCAATCATAATCAAATACCTTTGAAATGTATGATCAAATCATATCAAATACTTGAATGTATGAAATATAGCAATAAAAATATATATTATTATAATAATAATTACATGAATTAAAATATTATAAATAATCAAAATTTACATATATATGTATCTGAAGCAATAAATAAAAAAATTTATAGTTTTATACAATTTGCTAAAAATATAATACATTTCAAAAAAACATAAATGGATTTATATTTAATTTTTCCTTCTATTTATCTCCATCAACATGATATTTCTCATACCTACAACTACACATATACAACACATATGACAGATAACAAAAAAAAAAATAATAATAATAATAAACATTAAAAATAAGATACATCACGGGATGCAGAAGAAAAGGATACCATAAAAAAAAAAGAGACCAAAGAGTTAACATTGTCTTAATTGTTTTAATTTGAAATTGAAAATTTTAAAACATTTGAATTTTTTTAATTTTGAAATTGAAACTTTTAATATCTTTGGATTTTTTTTCCTTTTAAAAAATTTTAAAGAATTAAATATTTAAAATTTTAGATATAGATATATGTTAAATTAGATATAAGAAAGAAATGTTTAAAAATTAATTAAAAATTTGTAAAAAAAAAAAAAAGAAAAAGAGAAATATTCAAAAGAGAGAGCGCCAAGTAAGGTTTTTGAGAATTGTTTTTCATTCAAAATTTAAAGCCCCGGCCAAGTAATGGTCTCAAATTGAATGCAACGCACCGTTTTTACAATTCAAAATTTTATATATTATATAGATATATATAATATAATAATTTATAATACATATGAATAGTATAGTATATTATATAGTATATATCTCCAACCTGACCTAATTAACTAGATCAATTTTAGCTTTTTTTTTTTCAAATCAATACTGAGATATTCATCATCATTTGATGCATTTCATAATTAATAATATAAATATAATATTCTTATCGGTAGCAAGCCAATTTAAATGATATATAACGCCTATATTTTAGCTTTAACTATTTCCTTAATTCGTTGAAGATAAAATAAAGAATTGACCAACCTCAATATATAATCATATTGAAAATATTAATTTTTTATTAAAATAATGCATTTAAATGATATACTATTATTTTCACATTCTTATTGTAAATTCAAAATTGACCAACAAAATTGAAATATCTGAAGTATAAAAGTTTGACAATTAAAAATAAACTAAAAATTTAAATTCAAAATAAAACAATCTTAAAATAAAATCTATTGTGTATAAATAAAATCAAACTAATAAAAATCAAGGGGGAAATTAAACGCTTATTTAACCAAGGAAATAAACTAAACTTAATTAAAGAAAACTTACCTAAAATACCAGGAGCCCCCGATATTTCCCTCTTCCTTCACGAAACCACTATTGCAGCGCCTTTCCAGTCCTATTCTCCTCCATTACTGGTGACAGGACGATGAGTTATGACCTTCTAGCGCCATTATCGGTCCTTCCCTTAAGTGTTGGCGTGGTTATTTTACATTTTCTGGTTTCACATTGCACGAACGAGAGAGAGAGATAGATCGGGTAATATGATTTTTTTTTTTTTTCAATTTAGTAGGGTATATTGGATTAAAAGTCTTATAGATTTTAAAACATTTTAAAATTTTAATGATATTCGATTTAGATTCTTTTAGAGTCTATTAAAATTTTGTAGTATTCAATTCAGATTCTTATAAAATCTATAAAAATTTTATGGTATTAATGGTATTCGAAAGATTGCTAATTTGGAAGAATTCTAAAATTATTGATTTCACTGTATTTTAGAAGGTTATGTATGAATAAAAGAGTCATTTATAAATTTATCCTCCAACCCAAAAATTTAAAAAATCTTTTAAAATCTAACAGACTCTTAATTCAATACAGCCCTCATATAATGAAAACGGGATGGATACTTGCGAATTTTAAACTATTTGCACAGGTATTCGTTGAAAATTATTCATATCCATTCTAAACTCGTTTAAATACCTATTAAAGTACCCATATTTGAACTTGCTTAAATATTTACTACATGTACGTCCAAAAATCCGTCGAAAGTAACTCTTAATTGGGTAGAGTATCCGTGAATCTTTAACTATCCAAATTTCAAACTTATTTAAAATACAAATTTTTTTACTAATAATGAATAAGGTACCACTACGGAACCCGCAATATAGCAGTTAACTAGAGCGGGATGTAGGATGGCCGCCGATAATGCTGCCATTGCAAGCGTTTCACTGTCAACGGCGATAAGTTTTTAACGAAGAAAATAATGATTTTGGAAAAGATGACGCATTTTGCTTTTTAATCCCTCATTGTTTTTCAGTTTTCATTTAGCTCTAAAATTTTTTTAATTTGTTCAATTAGGTCCTAAAATTAATTTTGATTGGATATATAAAAATCATTGTGATTCCATCAAAGTAAATTAAAATCTATAAAATAAGTCTCACCAATTCCATAAAACTCTATGTGAAATTCTAGTGGAATATATGAAAATTTTAGAAAATCTTTCAATTCCGTCAAACTCAATAATTCTTTTAAAATCTAAGACAATTGTAATCCAATACACTCTTTATGGAGCGGCCCTTTTAATCCATGTCGATAGCCACATCAGCCAAAATGGGGCCCCCATATGCATAGTCAACATTTCGACAAGACAAATCAGCTGTAAACATTCAGTTGGTTTCTTTAAAAAGTGAAGACACTCAATCCGAAATATTTTCTGATTAGAACACTCAAATAGTAGGCACTAATTTTATCATTATCCTTTTGCGGAATCGATGGACGTAAATCAGGTATTCAATCGATACTTTATGGTATGCGGACGCTAAGACGCTTACACATGCTCGACCCTCATTCGCTAATCGCTATTCGCTATTAATCCAATTCAATGGCAATTGAAAAGTGCATGTATACACTGCCACAAGTGTCAAAATGGGCTTAACAAAGACCAGATACTTTGTTTAATGGGCTAAAGCCCAATAAACGTTTTTCCCATTCGTCTATATGGACATCATCAAGCAATCGTGGTCGTCAGCCCGCCACAGTTGACACAGACCCCGAACCAACGGATCATGCAGCACAAATGAATCCCAATACAGTGACGAAACTATCCTCGGGTGTCAAGCTACCTAAGTAAAAAAATACAAGGGCAAATAAGTAATATCGGTCGGCTTCCAAACTTGGTTAGCAAACAAGTTCCATTTCCTCCTTCGGGAGTTCCCTTAGTAGTTAGTCCCTCTCAGAACTTGTGATTACGCTCCAAATTATACTATAAATTTGCAACCAATTCATTTTCTCATCATCCAAACAGAAATCAAAAGCTCGTCTTTAGGGTTCATTTTGATCAACTGAACTCATTCCATTAATGAGACTATCTTCGATGCAATGATTCTATCAAGAATCAGTCGCTCTCTTTCTCGCTCTTCTCATTCCGCGTTACAGAGAGTAAAGCTCTTTCCTTTGTTCCTGTTTTTTTTCCTTCTTTGTTAATTTTGTTTTCTGGTTACATTTCAAAAATTTTTTTTTTCAGAATGTAATTGGCAATAATTGTAATCTGCGAGGCGTGACTGTAAAGGAATCGATTTTACCATCGGCTCTATTAGAGAATGCGTGCATTTCACGCGTCGATGGTGGACTAGGACTAGGGATTATAAGAGGTTATCTAACTTTTGTTGGTGGTGGGAGGCAGCTACTGTCGAAAACTAATTTGTCTAATTCGAATTCTCTCCTTGCAAGCCCTAGGGTTCGTTTATTCTTCTCCACTGAAGCTCCGAAGAACAGAAGTAAGTGTTCTTTTCTTATAAAGCGTTGGTGTTGTCTCTATGTTTGGGTTTCATTCAGTGATGGTTTGTTTTGGTTAATATAGAGTATGAGAATTATTACCCCAAGGATAAGAAGGAAATTCCAAAAGGAAATGAATCTGAAAATAAAGGTACGTACTTTTGCCACTTTGTGTCAAATTGTTTTTCAAACAAATTTATTGTTTTGATAGGATGTTGTTCTTTCTCCACTTTGTTGGTTTGAGTTATTGCCGTGATTAATTATTTAAGAACTGAACTGTCTGATGTTGAAGCAATAAAGTTTGAGTGCCCAGTGGGAAAACATAGGACATGCACTGCTTAGGGTCTAATAAATACACTCTTTAGTACCTAATCTAATGTGTTATCTTTCACATTCTAATTGCCAAAATTGAGTCATTTTGGTGGTAAATGTGATAGAATAATGGAAAATATTATGCGAAATAGTGGAATTACTACATATTGGACTTTTTAAAAGGTGAATGGAATTTGATCTTTTTCTTTTTCCAAAAAACAAATGTCAAAATTTATAGGCTTCATGAATATTTGCATTTATTCTTTTGAAAAGGGTCGCAGCTGATGGCTGAATTGTAATTTTAACTTTATATTACAATAACATGAACAAGAAATGTGTCTTAAATTGTTGCTAATCATGCATTAGTATTATTTTTGATGAATTTTCGATGTTGTCATCATTTAAGTTCCTATATGATTTAATCTCTATTGTTATTTTTATAATTATTTGTTCAATTTATTATTTTTATAATAATCTGTTCATTTATTAGATTCCTTAGGTTACAAAAGTTAAAAATATTATAGAAGATTCTATATGTGATTATGAGATACATCCTTGGTTGCAACATTCATTTTTATGGCATTGAGGGTTTCTAATATATGGATTTTGTTAACCTCAAGAAACTGGTTGTCAAAATATGAATTCTATGTATCCTTCTGTTCTTGCAAACACTTGTGTTTGCATAATCCATTGAGTTTGTCATGGGAGAGAAGAAATGTGAATATTATAATTCTGCTACAAGGAGTTTTAATAGTGAAATTACGTTACTAGTTCTTTTGTCCAGTTCTCAAGTTGTGCCTCAAAAAGGGAGCAGGGAGTTTTCTATTGAATCCAACTTATGGGCAATCTAGAACTATAAATTTAGACTTGAAAACATGGTTGCACTTAAATCACTTGTCTTAAATGAATTTTGTCTGTCTGCTGGTGCATGTATGTATTGGAACTCAACGCTTGTTTATTCTTTTTTAACTTCATTTTCTCATCTATTTCACCAAGTTTTTACATTTGTCAGAGGAGAAAAACCTGGAAGTATATATGAAATTATATGAGGCAGCGATATGCATATAGCTTGTTCAATTAGTGCATGTCCTGTTTGTTTTTTTCTAGCTGAGGTTTGCATTACATTGTGGAGGTTTAAAATAGTTTATTATTGTAAGAGAGAAGCAAATGCTGTGTTTTCACGAGATTTAGAATATGTCATATTTAACTTCTTGCAATTCTGAACAATTATCAGATTATGTATGCTATGATTTTTCTTCAATTCAGAATTTTAATTCCAAGGTTTTCTTTAAAACCAGTTATCTTATCTTGTTCCCATCACAATCAACCTATTCTAGTCCTAATTGTTGAGATTTAATTGCCCTAAATTCTTCCCCTGCATCAGTGGGGCTTCCTGAGTGTTATCTCTCTCTCTTCCTATCCCCTTATATGGTGTATTAGGAGGGTCGTTAGGTCTGGGCTGCGACATGAGTAGAAAATGAAACTGTAGTGGTTTATTCCCATAATTTATTTCAAGGAGTCTTAGATAAACACACTACACTTTTTCTTTGGGTAATTATTTGAAGCAGAATTGCCTGTTTCTGTTTTGTAATTCTGTATCTGCTTATCTGTGTCTGCTTATGCTCTTCTTTCCTGAAACAGTTCCATGCATTAAATTATTTTGAGACCCTATGATCAATAGTATTTTATGTGCCTCTGCAGAGGGCTCGGGTGGTGACAGTGGTGGCAGCAGCGGTGCAGGAAATTCCCAGAACTTCATGAAGCAGTTTCAAAATTTTCTTGCTCCCATATTATTCACTATCTTTCTGTATTCATCAGTCTTTTTTGGCCCTCAAGAGCAGAAACAGGTTACAGACCCTTGTAGAAACACTTTTCTTGATTGAATAGATATATAACTTGAGACAATCTTCAGTTTTGTACTTTTCTTTCACTTCCTATGTTGAACATGAATTGGTTTAGAAATTTAAAATTTTTAGTTTGCATTCACTTGTTTTCCCTTTTTTTCCCCTATGCTTCTTTTCTTGCTGCAGCCTGTACCTTTTTTAGGTTTTGGTATCTAATATCTTAAGAAAGCTGGTTAATTTGGGGTTGATCTCTTGACATTAGTGCATATTTAGTTATGAATAGAGCGGAATGGAAACAAAGGATTCTTGTAACTGACCCAATTTGGAATTAAGTCTTAGTTATTGTTCTTAAGCTGCTCAGCTACTCTGCACTTTGGACTTGTATGAAGTTCTCGTTGCAGTTATGCAATGTTAAAATTCCAGATTTTTATGTTTTAAGCTGCACTCCATATTGTGATTCATTATTATGTATTTCAGTATTTACACTTTATCTTTGAAGTATGCATTTCACATCTTAAAGACTGAGAGTCGTCCTGTGTAAAAAGCAAAGTGCAACTAGATAAGAGTCATGGGTGGCTTCTTGAAGAACTGTTGCCAGCATAACTATATCTTGCTATAATGCTATGATATTCTGTTAGAGTATAATTGTCGACGCTGTAATCAAATGACAATAGTTTGTTTGTTTTTGGTTATTGATACTTTTTTCCTTTTCAATTATTCTTCCAGTTCTTTCATATATGCATCGATTTAGAGCTTGTTTGAACAGCAGAATATGCATTTCTGAACTATTGACCAGTAATTGGCTCTCAGTTTATATCCTGTAATAGCAAGAATCTTAAGCTAATTTCATTCTGATCCCTGCTTTGGTTCTCTCCTCTTGCCTGATTTCTGACTGCATGCTTCGGTTTTGTCTGCTGAAAGTATCTTTCTTTACCTGTTTTTTCCCATTTCTAAGTTACTTGATTTGTTCCTCAGATTAGTTTCCAAGAGTTCAAAACCAAGCTACTTGAACCTGGCTTGGTGGATCACATTGTTGTCTCTAATAAATCAGTTGCCAAGGTGTATGTAAGGAACTCCCCAAAGAATGGAAGTCCAACCAGTGATGATGAAATTCAGAGTCCTGCCAATGGTACTCCATCCAGAAGGAATGATAGCCACTACAAATACTACTTCAATATTGGAAGTGTTGAAACTTTTGAGGAAAAGCTGGAGGAGGCACAAGAAGCATTGGGGATAGATCCGCATGATTATGTTCCTGTAACTTATACGAATGAAGTGAACTGGTTGAAAGAGTTATTGAGTTATGCGCCAACTCTCTTGCTTTTTGGAACACTCTGGTTAACAGGGCGAAGAATTCAGAGTGGATTAGGTGTTGGTGGTTCTGGCGGACGAGGGGGCCGTGGAATATTTAACATGGGAAAGGCACATTTCACAAAAATGGATAAGAACGCCAAAGATAAGGTAAGCCATATGCTATCTTCTAAGCAAAAGACCTGAGAATGATTAACTGTTACAGCTCCTTGGTATATATTCATGTTAATTAGAGAATATGTGGTAAAGCATGCAAGAAACTGCATACAAGTTGTTCTTCAAATCACCCACCCACACACACACAAACAATAATCTGACTTTGTATCGTTTTTCGAAAATAATGAATGTGATAATCATTTATGATTTTTCATGTGGTGGTATAGGTATTCTTTAAGGATGTAGCTGGATGTGATGAGGCAAAGCAAGAGATTATGGAGTTTGTGCACTTCCTCAAGAATCCAAAGAAATACGAGGAGTTGGGAGCTAAAATTCCAAAAGGTGCCCTTCTTGTAGGTCCTCCTGGCACAGGGAAGACACTTCTTGCAAAGGCAACTGCTGGTGAATCTGGCGTGCCCTTTCTGTCTATGTCTGGGTCTGATTTTATAGAAATGTTTGTCGGAGTTGGGCCATCTAGGGTAAGAAGCTTATTTCAGGAGGCAAGACAATGCGCACCTAGTATTGTATTCATTGATGAAATAGATGCAATTGGTCGAGCAAGGGGGCGTGGAGGCTTTTCAGGTGGCAATGATGAGCGTGAAAGTACCCTTAACCAATTGCTTGTAGAAATGGATGGATTTGGGACCACCTCAGGAGTAGTTGTACTTGCTGGCACAAACAGGCCTGATATCTTGGACAAAGCTCTGTTGAGACCTGGTCGGTTTGATCGTCAAATTACGATCGATAAACCTGACATCAAAGGCCGTAATCAGATTTTCCAGATATATCTGAAAAAGCTAAAACTTGATAATGATCCATCTTTTTACTCTCAGCGACTTGCTGCTCTTACTCCTGGATTTGCTGGGGCTGACATTGCAAATGTTTGCAATGAAGCTGCTTTAATTGCTGCAAGGAATGAGAGTACACAAGTGACAATGGAAAATTTTGAGGCAGCTATAGACAGGGTTATCGGTGGCTTGGAAAAGAAGAATAAGGTATATCTTGTTTTATTAATTGTTTAATGGATATTAGCTCTTTTAACTGTTTTCATTTCTACAAGTTCATAGAATCCGCAAGGTGAAGCATACTGAAGGAAAACTTTTGGTTCTCACCATTCTATTTTATAATTATTATTGACATAATTTGACTTTGATGGTGGACCTAAGATTTATTTCTTTTCTTCTTGCCGTCTGTCCAGTGGTCACTAGTTTTGTTAAGCTATTAATATATTCCATGATTTATGAGGGTTGAAATAATAACCTTTACCTTTTTCTGTGTTTAGGTTATCAGCAAGCTTGAAAGGAGGACTGTTGCTTATCATGAATCTGGTCATGCTGTTACTGGCTGGTTCCTGGAACATGCAGAACCATTGCTTAAGGTAACAATTGTTCCACGAGGCACTGCAGCGCTGGGTTTTGCTCAATATGTTCCCAATGAAAATCTTTTGATGACCAAAGAGCAGCTCTTTGATATGACTTGCATGACACTTGGTGGTCGAGCTGCTGAGCAGGTGAATCGTCCCATCCTTCCTCTCTTTTCTTTGTATGTTGTCATGGATTGGTGGATTAAGAATTTTATGGAAGATAGAAATCTTGATCCATTAACAGAAATTCCTGTGAATTGGGACTCTTATACCTTTTATAGAAGGGGCTTTTATCCTGGGTTTAGACATTTTAAATATTCTGTATATTGCATGCTATAAAACGTCTTCATAGTGCATATATCACAGGTTCTTTCCATTATTATGAACTCTTTGTTTAATTTGAAAAATATTCTATTGCACTCTTTCCATTATTATGAACTCTTTATTTAATACGAAAATATTCTATTGCAATAATTCTTCCTTTGATCTGTAGTTGTTGTTCCTGGATATGCTTTTGCTAGGCGTCCCAACCCAGTTGAGAATTTATTAAGCCAACCACTTGGGGGGGAACCTTCCTTGATTAAGTAATAGATAAGCCAAGATATAAGCCTCAGTGACAGTATACAACTGAATTTTCTGTAGTATGACAGATTGATTGAATTTGATACATATGACCTACTAGGTCAAACTGACTTGGTTTTTCTAATTGTCTTATCCTAATAGTAATTGTTAATCATATGACATGGTTGTTCTGAAAGGCATTCCGTTTCTTATGAGAGATCATTATTCATGGTTACCTCTGCATATGGCATATGTATGTTGAATCAATATTCATGGATCAAACATGTTGTTATGTTCTCCATGCCTATATTAATAGGAGCCAGACTCCTACTGTTCCTGGCAGCAACAAAATAACTTTGTCGAGATTATGCAGGATTATACATGAAAGATCCTTTTTTGGCTCTTTCTTTAGCCCTAGGGATAAGAGTAATAATTTGCCTGTGTAAGTTGCTTAAAGCCTATTATAATGCTTATATATATATATATTCTCCCTTACAGTTGTAATTTGATAATTGTTATGTAAGGTATGTTTCTTTTTGTATTTTCTTGGGCAAATCAGTGACAAATGAAGTATGTAAAACTTTTCAAGGTTAAAGTTACTAGAGGGCACCATTTCTTGAATTTCTTCATATGCCCTTATTGCCATCACACTAAGCAGAGATGTATGAGTTGTGAGGCCTTGGAGTTGTATCGTAGTATTATATTGAACAACTGGTCTGTCACTTTTGTTGGGGGGTGTATGCGTGTCTACTTGCATGTTTATACCTCAACTAATCATATGAAAAATGCATATATTGCATTACTCGGAGGAATCTCCTTTTGTGAAGGTATGAAAAGAATCTCGAATTTTGCTGTGATTTTTTTGATTTTTTTTGGTCTTTTCTGGATAGGTTTTGATAGGGAAGATATCAACTGGAGCCCAGAATGACTTGGAGAAAGTAACAAAGATGACTTATGCCCAGGTAGCAGTTTATGGTTTCAGTGAAAAGGTGGGTCTTCTTTCGTTTCCTCAAAGAGAGGATATGTTTGAGATGACCAAGCCGTATAGTAGCAAGACTGGTGCAATCATAGACAGTGAAGTAAGAGAATGGGTGGCCAAGGCTTATGACCGTACCATTCAGTTAATTGAGGAACACAAAGATCACGTGGCTGAAATTGCAGAGCTTTTGCTTGAAAAGGAGGTCCTTCATCAAGATGATTTGGTTAGGGTTCTGGGTGAGCGTCCATTCAAGTCAAGCGAGCCAACAAATTATGATAAGTTTAAGGAAGGATTCCAAGATGAGGATAAAGAGTCTAAAGAAACAACAAAAAATGGGACTGTGGTTGATGATGGATCAGCACCCTTGGACCCGCAGGTAGTTCCGGCTTAGCAGTTGATAAAGTTTATGGCTGTATAAATGGCATGTATTTTTTTTTTTTTTTTTTTTTAGCGAAGATTTCTCAAGATGAGGATAAAGAGTCTAAAGAAACAACAAAAATGGGACTGTGGTTGATGATGGGGATCAGCACCTGGACCCGCAGGTTAGCTTTCCGGCTTAGCAGGTTGATAAGTTTTATGGCTGTATAAATGGCATGTATTATTTTTTTTTTTTTTTTTTTAAAGCTATTAAGTTTCACTTTACAGTGAGGCCTAAAAAGAATTGTAGCAATTCAACAAAAAAAATGTAGCAATAAGAAATACGCTATACTTCTTCAAAACGAAAAGAGTCTTTTTTAAAAAAAAAAAAAAAAAAAAAAAAAAAAAAACTTTGTATGATTTCCAATACTGCTGCACATATTCGAAAAAAAAAAAAAAAAAAAAAAAAAAAAAACTGATGATTTCCAATACTGCTGCACATATCGAAACCTTTTTGATGATGCATACAGCTAATTATGAATTGCCATATCGATTTTGGGTCGGTTTCTAACAGTAGAGACGATAGCCTCTTTAAGTTGATGTTTCTTTTTCACTTGTGAGTTGGATAGATGCCAAAGCTGCATATGTCTGTTAGCATTTGGTTGATGTCTATTGGGATATTGAATGCTTTTGTAATGTCTGGTATCTCTGAATCAGTAGGGGGTGATTCCTAGTTTTGGACTTTGCTGCAATTTCGCAACCAGAAGAAGCAGTGGATATACGGTGCTTATATTATTATATTAAATAACGTTATGATGCTTGTGATGGTGACATTGACTCTTCAATTCATTTGCGAATTTGGCTGTTTATGCGAATTGGGACCTTTCAAAGCTATTCCTATCAATTTGTTTGTGGTGCGAGCTAATTTCCCCTGCCAAAGGGTTTTGTATGATATGATAGTAACGTGTATCTTCTACGTAAAGGCTGAAACTTACTCTTTGAATAAGTTTTTATACATATATATTTTTCGGTAAATTGGTAAAATATGGATATCAACCACAATGAATTTTTGAAACATCAGTGGCAACTAAACCCCACAATGAATTGGACTACCATATTTGATAGGTCTTGAGCAATTAGATTAATAATGGAGGGTCAGAAACTGAGTGGAAAATCATATTAGACAAACACCGTTGCTGCTTTTTCTGCTTCAAAAAAGCCTTCCCATAATTAATGGCCTCCTTGTTGGAAAGCAAACATAATGTGGATTTATACACTTTCCTTTTGACACTCTAATAATTCACAATCCAATAATTTGTCTTCCAATTTTCAAATCTTTGTTTTTTGTATAAATTTCTTAAATTTTGTGTTAGGATAGATATAGTAGTGCAAAGCCTAGGGTTTTAAGTCTTTTCACTAGTAAACCTTTTCTCAATTTAAACTAATATATCATTAAACCTTTAAATAATTTTCTTAAATTAATTTTCAGTTTTATCAAAATAACATTCAAAATGGGAACACACTTTATAGTTTCCGGCTGCATAATATAATGCAACTATGCACTTCAAAACCAAAAGAATTGTTTTTAATGTCACTTTTACTTTTTCTTTCAAAAAACAACAATTAACCAAACATATTTTTTTGTGCTTTCTCTAATCAATCATTGGTGGATTAAACAAAGTGAGATTTGCCTCTTTAGGCTATTTTTTTAGACTTATTTCTTTAATCAAACTTGAAGGAGTTTGCTAATTAATGTTGAAAGGGTGAAAATGACAAAATTGAATATTAAATGCATTACATAAACCATCAAAAGCAAAATACATTCAATCTATAAATAAATAATTACCCTTCTCAACCGCCAAAGACCTCCAAAACATAACAACAACAAGGACAATCTTATAGTCATACAAGGCAAATTTCTTTATTTGCAAGTCCATTATCAAATCCATTATTGTAATAGCAATTCACAAATCATCAAATTATTATTTCTTTTATCTCAAAATAATAATTCTTTTGATTAAGAAAGTTATCTTTTATAGTCAGAAATCTCGAACCTAAAACCTTTTACTCGCCACATAGATAGAAATACCAATCATATCACACCTGATTAATATTGTAAATATTTATTTTTGTAGAAAGTGAAAACAGTCTTGGAGAATACTTGTCAGATATGTTTCACTTATCACCTAATATTTTAATAAAAGATGAAATTAACACAAGAGTGAGCAAAAGAAAAAAAAAAAAAAAAGATTAGCAAAAGAAAAAAAAAAAAAAAAAGATTGATTAAAGAATATTTGAAAAAAAAAAAAAAAAAAAAAAGATTGATTAAGAATATTTTGACTCTTACATACAAAAAATAAATAAAAAAGAGAACTTCCCACCATAAATAATTAAACAATTGATTCATTTATTTTAAGAAATAACTTATTTCCAAAGCTAAGAGCATAGGTCTTAAAAATGTAAAATAAATATTATTTGTCAATTACAGCATAAGGTACGTCAGCAATGCATGGTATACTATAATTCGCAAAAGAAGAACACCTGTAAGTAAGAGCATGATTGATTATGCAATTTAAGACAATTACAAGAATATCCTATACTAGATATTTCTTAGGCCTTAATAATACTAATGACCCTACTAATTACTGATGACTCTGCAAAAATTGTTTATAGATCTCCTGATATTGACATGACTAATTACCAAATTGAAAAACTAATCTCTGGGTTATCAAACTAATTAAATTTCTAAATTTTTGCTTAGAAATTTCAACTGAAAATGGGTTGTTTGTCACCGGTCATAAACTCGAGAATCAAATTATACCAATATTTAGGCATGTTCGGTAACATCATTTAAAATAACGTTTCGCATTTTATAAATTTTTTACGACGCTTATATCCATGGCTCGTCTTTTAACTTGTTTTTCACTATAACAATATATATTCACACTTTTTTGTCGTTTTATATTAAATAAATAACTAACCATTAATAACTAATATCTATCATCTACTTAGAATATAAAATTGATTCGTAATATTAACTTATTAAAAAAAAAAAACCCGAATAATTTTCAGCACTCAAACGTGAAAACATTGTTAATTGCATTGGGCACAGATCAAGTGCTTGTTATGATAAAATTAATATAATTAACTAGATTTGCTGAATAATCACAGTATGAAGGATCTCCGTTGCTGTAGCTTTCTCAGTCAACCGCCCTCACCTACTGAAAGCTAAGAGCCTCAATAATATAGCCAAATAATTAGAAAAAAAAATAATATAATTAAGAGAAGATTAAAAATAAAAGGGGTCATGGTCATAGACATAGACATAGACAGCCAGCCCAGATGGTTGAAATAATTGAGAAGAAAGAGTTAGAAATGGGCCTTTCAAAAGGACCCCAACCCACCACCCTGCATATGGTTTTTCCAACTACGTAACTATCTGCCTTATTAAATTATTATTACTTCTAGTAATTAGTAATTAGTGAATGAGAAATAAATCACTAATTTAAGGTTCTCTAGCTTTCCCTTTTGGGACTTTTTCAGCCACTTGTTTTGTACTTTTGCTTTGCTTGCAAATCCAATCTTAGGGCTCCAATTATTTCTTCTCCTACTACATTAAATTAAACAGACAAAAAAAAAAAAAAAATTCTATGGAGTTGTGACATCATCGGTCTCCAATTAGGTTAGTCATTTTCACCAAATTAGTGGCGGCTTATATGAACTCTAATTAGTTTTAATTTTATGTATTTTTTAATCTTCTAATAAAATATTATGTTATATTTTATAATTTATTTATTTATTTAAAAATTTTTTCACAAAAGCAAACACAAGATAATAAATCCAGTCTTTCACTGAAATTTTGAATAGATGTTCCGAATTCAAGTGAGAAGGAAATGAATAATTATCTGTTTTCGAATCAAAATCAGGCCACTCAAAGGCTATCTCAGCCGGAATGAAATCTCATACGATAAAATATGTATTAAGAGAGTTCGTGATCCACGGGGATAACTAATTGAACTTCCTTTCGAGAAAATAAAAGAACGAACAGCTTTCGGAGATTGACTGAAAAGGCATTTCTTACTTCTATTGTCTTACGAAAACTGTAAATCAATCACGTTTGAGATGATTTTGCATTTTTGCTTTTGCGTCCTCTTCTATCACATCTACCTTCTCTTTTGCTTTATTACTGCATTTTCCCTTTTTTTTTTTTTTTCGGAACTTTATTACTGCTTTTAGGAGAAGACATTTTAGCAATTTTAATCATGATTCACTTCTAACAGTAAAAACTGATCAATTTTTTTATTTGACTCCGATTTATTTATTTTTACGTTTAAAATAGATAAAATGGTTTGAAATATCCTATCCAAACCAAGTTATTATCTAAAATATTCAATTAGATTGAATCGAGATGGTTTAATTCGGTCTAGTTTAATTATCGTCTCCTAAATTTTACTTTTCTAATTCAGTTATAATAAATTATATAAATTAAGAATAACACCTAATTGGAAAAAAAAAAAGAAAAAGAAAAGAAACCATCCTTTGAATTTGATTTGGAAGAATATGTATTTTAATCAATACAAAAAGAACAAAAACACTTACTAATTAAGCTATTTTTGGAATAAATTGAATTCTCATTAGTAACATGAAGACTGAGTTGGCTAATTAGCCTTAAATTTTTCTATTTTTCTACTGATACAATATATTATCAAATAGTGTCAACAAAAAAAAAAAAAAAAAAAAAATATTATCAAATAGTGCCAACAAAAAAAAAAAAAAAAAAAAATGCCATGGAATGATAATTTTGGAAGTATAAAAAAAAAAAAAAAAAAAAAAATCATGAATGATAATTTTGGAAGTATAATCAAACTCGGGAAACAAAATTTGAAGTATGTGATGCAAAATCAAAATGCGTGTCTTGTAAGAATTTCCTAACTATTATTGTTGTTCTAATCTATGTGATAAACTGATAACTATACATACTAACAGACGTGAGTTTTTTGTCTTTCACTTCAATTATATGATCACAAGGGGTCCAACATTATATCATACGACGTTCGGATAGACACCTCATCCACTTTTATACCATTGCTTCATCAATTACTCTTTCATTTTTTTTTTTCTTTTTTATAATTTTTTATATATATATGTTATTATCACTTATCAAATTCTATTACCAATCACCAAAAAAAAAAACAATAAGATCATACTATGTTAGAGAATTATTTATATAATTTAATATCATATAAAAATAGTTCTTTGCTTTTGTTGAAAATTGTTTTGCATTTTATCTAAATTAGTGTGATAATAAGTAAATAAATATATATACTGCATGGATTTCTAAGCGATGAGATGAAATAGTAAGAATTTCTTTTTTTAACTAAAAGTCTTGAGCTCGAATTCGACATATAAAGTTCTCATGGATCTATTTATAATAAATTTAATTAATCGGATCAATGAACTTCAAATATAAAATTAAAAAAAAAAAAAACATAAGATATATACCTCATGGAAACTAAAAATATCAAAATATATTACTTTTTCCAATTTCATGAAGTACGTCAAAGTACAAAAAAGATACTTACATAAAAAGATAGATGTAATCTTATCTTATCAATGATAGTACAAAAGTAAAATTTAAAAAAAAAAAAAAGAGAAAAAGAAATCAATAATAGAACAAATATACCAATAAAAAATCAACGATAGAACACATCATTAAAGGGGTAACGTGTGTAAAGAATTAATGAGACTAACATGTGCATCAGTTTCAAATCAAACCATTTTGCCACTTATATTCTAAAGTATTGTTTAGTAACTATATGATCAAACTCATTAAAAGAGAACGTATCTAGCTAATTAGGTTTAAGGTGGATTAATCATATTCCATTTTCAGGCAATTTAACTTTTCTTAATTAGTAATTACTTATTGATAAATATGCTAATTGCTTTGCTATCATGTTATATGCATTAATTTTTTTTTATTATTATTATTAGTTGGATTCTGTAATAGAAAAGTTTAGCAAAAGAATTTCATACATATGTTATTTAATTTATAAATTTGAAAGCCTAAATTTTTACAATATTGTTGAACAAATAAATTTTTAAAGTTTTAATCCCGAAATTTGGTTCAGTTAGTAAATGGATTGGCCACTCATTTTATTGACAAAATCTCAGTATTTTGAGCATATCATAAAATAAAGATTTTTTATTTATCAATCTCTTAATTCCGATATTAATAGTTTACCTTTTTATTTATTTATTGAGAGGTCCGATAAATTAAAATAATATCGCTGGCTATATAACAGAAATAGACCTCCACCGGACTCACCAAATTAATAAAAATACTTGTTATCAGAGAATTCGAACTCAAGACTTACCACTCCTCACATAAGTGAAAAGACCATACTTGATTGGTAATATATTAATAGTTTGCCTTTGATTGGATCAAAAAGATGAATTTAATATAGTGAACAAAAATTACTCTCTAATACAAATTTATCAACTAAATTATTTTGAAAATAATTTTATAATTTTTGTTCTAACAATTTAACAAAAATTTTATTTAGTTTTTACTAAAAAATAAAATTATTATTTAAGTCAACACTTTTAAAATTTATTTCATTTACCTTGAAATTGAAATGCAAATAAAAATGAATATTTAAGTTTAATGAAGCATATGCAAAATTTATTTTTAACACGAGTTTTATTTCTATTTCTTAGGTGGCATTTATTTTCGGAATATAATTTACTTTTGAAGAATTTAATTTTTTATTTTGACTAATTAATTTTTCCGACTACCTTAAATGTAGAAAAATTTTTTAGACTAATTTTTAATTTTCAAAAGTGAGAAAACAATGGATGGACCAGAAAAAAATGGAGAATATATTATTATTATTATTATTATTATTATAAAGGCGCACGAGAAGAGTCCAGATATTTGTGATGGCGTGCCGTTGAGCATTGAAGATCGAACAAAGACAATATCTAGTATCTTTAATTTTCAAAGACCTAAATGAAAATATTAAATTGAAAGGTTATAAAAACACAAATTGGGATCCAAAATTGATCGCTTTCACATCTATTGTTAACTTGTTTATAATTACAATACGCCAACGCTTTAATCAAGTTTTAGCTAACTAATCTTTTTTAGTTAAAAACCTTTCTTTTTTAGCTGTCCTGCCCTTTTGTACAGCTGTGTCCCTCTTTCATTATTTTCATATTTTTACACGTGATCATTTTTTTTTATTTCTATTCTATGGGTAGTTCTGGAATGCTGTATTTGGTTAATTGAAAGTACATATTTGACCTCTTTAAAAATATTAACAACAGTAAATTTTTTGCTAATTCCACCAACTGATGCTTAAGATTTTTCTTTTGTTTTTTTGGACACACGTTGTATTTTCCAGACTCAAGTCGGCAGTCCCAAATAAAAGTCACCTCAACAATATTCATGAAATTTACCTCACTTGATTGGTTGGCAAGCACCAATTTGAACAATGGAATGAATTTGATAAAATTGGGTGAGTAAGGAATATGGAAGACGGAAGGGTAGAACTGGAAATTTCCAGAAAAACAAATAGAGTCTTGCAAAATTTTAATTTTGACTCTGGAAACTAACTGTAGGGAAGGCCTTTCTTCCTGGTAGCTTCTCAAGTCTGAACTGTCTTTTAAAATAGTTATCATTTTGGATTAAAATTAATTAAACGTGGTTCAGGTAAATTAAAAAAAAAACATGAGAAGGCAATGGAATTTCCGTGTATATAAACCCCTTCGATGCCTCACTGCATCCTCCCCCTCTCCTTCTCTTCTCTCTCTCTCTCAAACTCTACATCTCTCTCTGTTGCTCTGTTTCTCCTTCATTTCTATCAGAAAAGCTTTTTCCTGGTATGAATATGATATTTAATAGTTCTCTGGTTATAATTTCTAGACTTGCATTTTCTTTGTTTTTCAAAGTCAGAAGCTTGTTCTTGAAAATTTTTATTATCTGGGTTTTGAACCCTTTCTTTCTTTTCATTCAACTATGAACCATAGCTCAACTAAATTAAAAATGCTCTGTTTTTTTATGTTCTTAAAAGTGATGGTTATAAAACCTGTGATCATAGCTTTTGCCTCTTCTTTTCCTGTATTGTTGATAACTTTATGATATAAACAATTACACTTTTCTTGAAAATGTATATTTCTCATGAACCTTTAAATCCAATAAAGCGATTGGTCCACTCCACTAAATTCTTGATTCAATATTTTGTGGTGGTTGTGGATTGTCCACTCATGAACTCAATAAGGTCTTATCCAATTTACTTGTTATTGGCTACACGTCGTCCACTCGTTCCAGATGTCTCTCTGCTTATGGTGCTAATCTGAGTAGATATGAACGATAATTTTATTTTTTTTTAAATAATTTTTTGAAAAAAAACTGTAAACACATGAATTTAAATTGAATCTTCCTGCCATGATATTTGCAGTTGAACTTAACATTCACTCCTCCTGCTATTTTCTTAAGGTTTCTTGATCAAAATGGAGTTTGAGGATCTATACCTTCAAGCACAACGGCCTAAATATGATTGCCTTTTGTTTGGTAAGAAAGAATAAGAGACATTTTATGAACTAAATGGAAAAATGTTTCCAGAAACAAATTAATGAAAATTTTTTATTTGCAGATCTAGATGACACCCTTTATCCCCTTAGTTCTGGTCTTGCAGCTGCTTGTGGCAAGAACATTAAAGGTAACACTATATACAATAAATAAATATGTAATTTGTGCTTATACTCATAACTAATAATTGTGAAAATGGAAACCCATTTGTAGACTATATGGTAGAACGACTTGGAATAGACAAGAGCAAGATCACCGAATTAGGCAATCTGCTGTACAAGAATTACGGGACAACAATGGCTGGCCTCAGGGTAATTCTGATATTTTAACATTTGTCTTCCTTCTTAAAATATCAAGTCCTTTCAATTTTATAACTTGAATTTTAATGTTGTCCTTCAATTTGTTTGTGCGTGCAGGCAATTGGCTACGACTTTGACTATGATGAGTACCACAGGTATACGACAAGTAAAATACTCTGTTTTTTGTGTTTTTTTTTTCTTCTACTACTAAAAAAAAGTTATATTTACCTTTCACTTTCCTACATGCCAGTTATGTTCATGGGAGATTACCTTATGAGAACTTAAAACCAGATCCTGTCCTAAGGACTCTTCTGCACAGTATTCCCATTCGAAAAGTGGTAAGTATCGAACCATCAGTTAAGGTTTGTTTGTTATTACTGTTAGAACTTCGATTAAATTGATGTGTTTTGCTCTTTTTGTAGATATTTACAAATGCAGACAAAGTACATGCCCTTAAAGTTCTTTCCAAGCTTGGATTAGAGGACTGTTTCGAAGGGATCATTTGTTTTGAGACATTAAATCCTACCCATAAGAGCACCACTTCTGATGATGAAGATGATATAGAGTTTATGGGATCAACTGCTTCTACTACCTCAACCACTGCTAATGGTCCTAAAATTTTCGACATTATTAGCCATTTTGCTCAACCAAACCCCAATTATGTGTTGCCAAAGACACCTATTGTCTGCAAGCCGTCAGAAATTGCCATAGAAAGAGCTCTTCGAATAGCCAACATTAATCCTCAAAGAACTGTAAGTTCAAAATCGAAACTTTTCAGGATTAAAAACAAATGCAATTTTATTATGAGCAGTAATATTTATATATCAATTTCTGGTTTTCACAGTTGTTCTTTGAAGATAGTGTCCGAAACATACAGGCTGGAAAACGCGTAGGACTTGATACTGTACTGGTAAGTACATATAGTAGTACAAGACAGAAGCTCGAAAATTAAACTGCAAATTTAAAAAATATCAAAAATTTCAAAGTCCCGAATCAATCGGTATTTTTCAAAGTCCAATTAACAAACAGATCTACCACACAATGGGTGGTTGCAGGTTGGCACGTCACAAAGAGTTAAAGGGGCAGATTATGCATTAGAGAGTATCCACAACTTGAGGGAAGCAGTGCCAGAGCTTTGGGAGGTTGAGATTAAATCAGAAGTTGGGTACCAAGAGAAGCTTGCAAGGGAGACACCTGTAACTGCTTAAAATATTTTCATTATTAATTAATCATTAGAGGTTAAGAAAGTGCAGATTATGAATGATCTCATGCCAATTGCTATCAATTGTTACATCAGAGCACCTAATTGTAAACCCAAAGCTTGGAATCTTCCATTTTCATTTCCTCAATTTCATGTTTCAACGATGTAAATGTTTTGTTCTAATCATTTTATGTATTAAATCAAAAATAAAATTACTTATTTCTATTCCCAATAATTTTATAAGACCAGTAATAACCAGACAAGTGGTTCGAAACTGTTGATGATGTTGTGGCAACATATGAAAGTTACACATGGCAATGAATGATTTCCCTACCTGTCTGGATGACTGGAGTCGTAGTCAATTACTCAATTTGCAATCATACAAAATTGAAGTTTGGATGGTCGTGCTCGTGACGCGACGCATAATATTTATAAAAATTTATAAATTACACATCATCAGTAAAGTTTTCTAAATTTTATTCCTGGCGTCACCGTGAATCGTCTCCTTTGGTGATTGACAATTTCTTTTCCTTTTTTTTCTTTATTTTAGTTAACTTATTCTACTAAAATTATTTTCAAATAAAAGGATTTCAATAGTATTTCTTATTTTGTATTTCATAATTGGAATTATATTATTCAATTTTTTTTAAAAAAAAAGGTACAAATGACATTAATATAATCCTAACTTCTCCACTCAAAGTATTATAATGTTAATTACATTACTGGATCTGATCCCTCAGAACTAACAGGAAAATGACTTTTTTAATTAATTTAGTGCTAAATTATTGGTGTATCACATTAATTTAGCTTAATAAATTAAGCTTACCGAAGGGATAAACTTGCACATTTTCAATTCTTTTTTAAAGTGGGACAAACCCTTTGTTAGTACGTTAGAGGAATTTTGTATTTTCTTTTACAATATTCCAGAACATCCCTCAATTATTAGATTATGAATCTGACCGTAAAAATTGAGGCACGTTTAATCCTTGGTTTGATATAAAAAATTCAAAATATGAAAGTTATCAGTAAATGAATTCTAAATATAATTCATTTATAAATAAATTTTTCCATATTTGAAATAAATTATAAATTAAAAATTTATTTATTTTTATTTTTTAAAAAAATATCTTGGTATAATAAGTTTAGAAGGTCAATAAGATGGATAGTTTTGTTATAAAATTTTAAGTTTTATTTGGACATTTTACCTTTTTTTGGTAGAATTTAGTGTAGTTATATTTAAATCCATAGAATTGAATTTTTTTTTTATACCAAACACAAATATTTAATTTCATAAATAAATTTAATGAAATTCATTTATTCCAAACAAGGTTCCTCCATTACAATTCTAACAATATACCACTTCTTATGTTCTATAATACTATATCTGTTCCATAATACTTATCATATTTGAGAAAATAACTTATTCCAAAATATTTATCACATTTGTAGGGTTTCAACGAGTAATATTTTTTTCCATGTTTACCCTTTGTATATGACCAATAATTATTAATTCATTTAATGATCTTTTTGGAGAATTAATAGTAAATTAAGGATAATATAGTCGATTTACTCGATAATTTGTAGTAACTTAAACACATTTAATAGTTTCCTTAAAGAATGTGAAATTTTAAATGTGACAAGTATTATGGAATACAGATGATACTTGTTACATCTGGAATTCACATTTGTAAAAAAAAAAAATTATTAAATTTGTCTAAGTTATAATAAATTATTGAATAAACTAATTATATTACCTTTAATTTAATACGATTTCTCTAAAAAAATCATTAAAATGAAGTAATAATTATTGGTACTATATAAAGAGTAAATATTGAAAAAATATTTATTATTTTTTAAATATAATAATTATTATGAAATGTGGGTAGTATCTCGTTCCTTATTTAATGCAATAGACTTGTTGTCGTCTTGCTTGACCTGTCTTGTAAAATAAAACTGCCATACATATTCAATTATTGAGTGAAAACACAAAATATTGATTTTACCCTCCTGAAATAGCTAAAATGCCTTGGAAAACTGGCAGTTTCAGTAATTTGCACAAAGCGATAAGCATTAAGCATTTTTTGGAGGTCCAAGTGTAGCAAGTTTTTAAAAAATTAATTTCTTTTTAAAGATTATCCATAAATAGAAGATCTTAGTTATCAATATTTGCATTTCTTATTTTTGCTTATTCATATAATTTATTAATAAAGAGCGGTATTATTTCCAGAACACAGATTGTTAATTTCAAAACTAAATTAATTACTTAGATAAAATTACTCTTTTAATTTATTTTCGTTTTGGTTTCATCGCAGTCTTTTTGTTTTTTCACTAAACTCAAATATATCAAAACCTGTTTATCAAATCCAGAGATGAATTATCAATGGCATCATAGAAAGTCCTGGATGCAGGTAAAAATTTTTCAAATTGCCCATTGCTCATCCTTCTGCAAGCCCTTATTTTCCCTCTCCTTCAAAATCTAATCTTCACCATTATTTGCTAACAACAATACAACATTTCTTTGATTCTATTTTTCTTTGCTTATTCAAATATATTTATAAAAGATTTAGTATATACTTGTTGATACAGCTCTATTTATTGTAACTATTCTTGTAAAACTAATACACAAGAAAAACACTTTTCTTTCCGGATCTTTCATGGTATCAGATGTGAGAAAAGGATTTAAGGAGATACTGGAGAAAAGATCCTCTTCCTGATGGTGAATTTTGAATCTCGCAATTCATTAAATGAGGTGCTAGCTAAAATAGAATTGGCGTACCTATGAATAAATGTAAGAAGAGAAGATGAAAGCTGATTTGAGGTTATTAATTGAGCAAACTACAGTTATGGAGAAAATATATTTTGATGCTCTTAAAGTTTAAAGTTTGAAGAATTCAAGAAAGAAGAGCCAAGGGATTTCAATCTTTATTTGTATCAATGAATTATATCAAATGTTAAGAAGAAAGATGAGGCAAAGAAACAATTTCAGAAGGTTAGAAAACTTAAATTTAAGAATCCGTGATAGATTAGTTTTTCCTCAAAGTTAAATTTGACTTCTAATTCAAGTTAATAGACAAAGGCAAATTCGAAAAGAATTTACTGTGCTACAATCTATGTTTGCTGTGATAAGGAAAGTAAATTAAAAGGGTAATTTTATCTAAGTAATTAATTTAACTCTGGAATTAACAATCTGTGATATGGAAATAACACCACCATTAATAAATTATCACTTTTTTTTTTTTAAATGAATCGATAAATATTATCAAATTTTTAAAAGAAAAAACTACTCACTCCATTCGACTTTAATAGAAACATTTTATATTTTTACAAAAATTAAAAAAATGATTGGAACGTATTGATTGTCTAAAAATACAAAGTAGAATAGCTAAATTGCACTTTTTAAAATTATTATTAATATACTCTTCAAATTCTGAATAATTGAAGCAAAATAAAATATTTATTTTTTGTTATTAAAGTGGAAGTTTTAAAAAATAATAAGAATCACATGAAACAAATCACATGACTATTCTCACATTAGTTAAAATAAAAATATGAATCCACTCTTAGAAATTATTAAATCCTATAAATAAATATTTTACTGTATCATAGAAATTTTTTCAAACGAAAAATTCTTAAGGCTGCATTATTCGTTAAAAATAAAAATACATTAAATCCATAAGAAGTTTTAGCGTGAAGAGATTGTATCCATCGGACAATTATAGTTGGATGACTGTTCCTATCGCTATGACAGAAATATGAAATTAGATTAGATTCTCACCTCATAAAACTGCTCGAAATCTATAAATAAATTTAAGGATAAAAGCCTATTATTTATTTAGACATAAAGGCAAATGTAGGTTTCGCAGTATGAAGTTGCTAGCAAACAAACGTTAAAGCTGGCAACAGAGCACAATATCACTGCCCAGAACAGATGGTCCATAAATAAGTTGCTACCTAACCAAATCAAAAGTTGGCATCTGTGAACCCCTTCAGCACTAATAATAATGATGTGGACGGTCCAGATTTTTGATCCTGCAAAAATCACCTTAATACTTGGTGGTTGTGATTTTGATGGATCATAGATACAGAGGATTGGTCAATTTTTCCGACTAGTTCCTTCTTTATCATCATTATTATTAAAAGTACTTAGGAAGAGAAATCAATAATTCAATTTTGTTTTTGTCTAAAGTGTAAAATATTTCCAAATGCTTCTGAGATGACTCTTCATTAATCCATTGCATGCCAAGCAACATCTTTTGTTTTTTGTTTTTTTTTGATTTAACAATCAAAATGTTGATATATCAATCATGATTTATGTGAGTCAACATGTTTCAATAGTAGTTTTGGTTTGTGAATAAGTAAAAAGAAAATTTTAGGAGGAATTTTTTAAATAAAAAATCCATATAATATTTAAATTTGTTCCACAACTAAATTTTAAGATTTTAAGATTAATACAACTTTTTGAAATAATGATTCATATTTTCAACAATTTAATAAAAATTTAAATAATTTAATTTTATAAATTAAAATATTTAACGGATCAAGTTAAAATATTTAATATTAATATTTTCAATTTTATAAATTAAAATATTTAAAAAATTAAAATAAAATTTCAGGATATCACAATCTTTTTCAATAAAATTACAAAAATAAATTTATGCATTTAGTCCTACAATTTTGAAATGACAGTTTGATGGAGGAGTTTGGCAGCTTTCCAACCACAGATTCAAATTGAATTCTAAGGAATCTGTACAACGAACGACCCATATTTAATCTGGTATGTTGGCCCATCAAACAAATATTTGTTTTCCTGGCCACTTTAAGATGTTAGTTTAATGAAATCTCTAGTAACCCTTTTCAATCTTTAATAAATAAATAAATATATGTTTGCTTGAATTCGTGGGGGCATGTTGATGGATTCAGATATGCTTTAGTATTTTGGTTTTAATATTTTTCTATGATGAAAAGTTAAAAAGAAATTTACAATTCAATCCGTTAGGCTGCCTGATTAATTGACGGGTTTAAGTGTAAAAAATCCAAATTTCTAATTACCATAGCACTAAATCCGTTTCTCTTATTAACATATTTAATTGCATATTTTCATATTCTTTTTCTAAAATATCCATTTTAACTAAAATATTTCATACACTTAGGATTATTTAAGGCTGTGAGTGAATTGAGTCGGGTTGCATTTATTGATTTAAGTATTAGAGTCATTAATTTTTTTTTATCCAACTTAAGCTATCAACAGGGGCAATGCCACACTGTGTGAATTGACTCCACTCAATTTTTTAAAAAATATTAATAGAATAGGATTAAATTGGTAAAAAAATTAAAAAAATATATATTAAGTAAAAATTTAGAGTTTTTAATTTAATTAATCACATTAAAAATCAAATTAATTAAAATAATCGTACCAGAAAATATTTCTAGCTCTGCTACTGCCTATTAAATATGTGACTTCATAGGTTATAAATAGATTAGATTAGATTGGGATGTAGTTTGATAATTTTGGAGATTAAATACATTGTAATATTTGATTATTAGTGTAGTTTTATTATAGTCTTTCGTATTTACTATTGGAATTACTATTCAATCTTTCATTTAACGCTAAAAATGACACTTTTTTTTTTGTTGGAGAATTAAATAATTTAAGGGTGTCAAATTTTAAGGTAAAATCATTATAATTACCAAATAAGAGGGATGAAATTGTAATTGCAGAAAGTATAACGGAAAGTTTATTATATTAAGTCCAAGCAAAGGACCATTTTGGTTATTGGAAAGTTTAACGGAACAAAAAATAATTGCAGAAAGGGAAGAAATGGTGCGTGAAGTTGTTAAAATATCCCACATTGGCTAGCATTGAATTGAGTTGTAAAAGAGGAGACTATTAAAGGCAAGAGAGGCCACATCCCAAAGCATACCTTTCTCGGCCTTTTGGCTAAGATCAAGTGTAGTATCTGTTCTTATCAGTTTAATATCTGATACGTGGGCCATTGGCTCACATGATATTAAATTAATTTTTTATTGGGGAGGGCCCACTGCAGTAGCTTGCTACTGGGGTCTTCAAGGGTCGCCCATTCGTTGCACTATAGCAAGGGCCTGGCGCACCCACCCAAGCCCAAGTTTTAGTTTAAATTTGTTTGAATCAGTTGAACGGAGCTCCAGTGCAATAATATCTGTGGGCTTTGTTTTAACGGGCCTAACTGATTCTCAAAATTCATCAGGATCAGATAATTAAAATTTTTTTTTTAATTAGTGAAAACGTAAACTGGCTAAATTAGTGATTTGAATTTCAATTAACTGGTTAATCTTATTATATAACTTAACTCTGATTTCTGAAACCTTTTTTATTCTCTCTTAACTTGTTATCTTCATCAGGATCGTCATGCCTGTTCTCCACAAGATGTTTATTTTGATGCTTCAAAAATCATAACTTTTCCCAGTGAAGATAGGAATGACGGACTGAATAATGTTCAATTCATTTCCATTTACCGCCATTAGGGTATTATGTGTTTCACCCAACTCGATGTGTTTATCTCTCTTAATGCACATTCTCACTCTCCATGGCTCTGAAACTGGTACTGTTAAAATAAAAATAGGGACATACAAAGACAAACTTGAAAGAAAAGGAAGTAAGAAGTGCTTGTTCTTTGTGTGTAACTTACAATCTTTATTCATTAAGCAAGAATCACTGAAATAAGTTGTATACCAACCAATAACGCAAGAACATAACAACAAAGTTAAAAGTGTAGAATTTAATCCTAAATATTTATTCTTGTAAAGAATTCTAAGCAATAACAAATTTCTATAAATTAATACCAACGTTGGTGGGGATGAAGTGATCGAGACTCTTTCCTCTCAACTAAAAGTTTTAAGTTAAAGTATTAAATATGAAAATTGTTATGTTAGGAGAGTCGCCCCTAAATAGGTCTTGTAGTACTCAAGTCGGACATAGTCAAAATTCTATGAATGATATTATAAGATATGATAGAGGGATAAAATAATAATTTTTTACATAAAAATCAAAAAAAGAAAATAATAATTTTTTACATAAAAATAAAAAAGAAAAAGAATATAAGAGCATTAAAAAGGAAAAAAAATGTAAAATAAAAAGAAAAAAAATGAATTGTTAATTTTTTTTTATAATTATTTTCTACTTGGAGAAAAATAAAATTTGCATTAAATCATGTAATTTTTTCTCTTTAACACAGAGAGATTTTAATTGATTAAATGCATAAATATACTCCTATATTTTATAAAGAAAAAAAAAACTTGCCGCACTCTTAATTTTTATTTTCATCCATTCAACATTTTAATTTATGAAATTTTTCTATTTAATATTTTAACTTGTAAATTTTTAATTAATTAAACACTTATTAAATAATTGAAGATGTAAGAAATTATTGTTGTAAAAATTATAATAACCACACGTTAAGTATATATATTGCATATAAAATTAAAAATATTAAAAAAATTTATTATTGTTAATATAAAAAAATATATAATATTATTAAAATTTATAAGTTTAGTAGCATAATATAACCTTTGTAAATTAGGTTGCCGCGAGGCTTTTTCAGATATAGGTAAATTTACATATTTAGCCGATTCTAATTTTACGAGTAAAAAAAAAAGTTACATTCTTTTGATATTTTATTCGCTCTCTCTTTTTTTAACAAGGAAGCCTATATGGATAAGAAAAATCCACGGTGAACAGCCGTAGCCTCCTTCTACGGCTAAGAGAGGTAATCACGGAAAGCGCATTTAAACCTTAGTCTCGCCGGCGATCAGATGGAATCTATTTCAACTGAAACCATCTAACTAACTATCCTGCACCAATGGCCACTGCAACACGTGTACCATTGGCATTCTCTTATCGTAAATACGCTTGCGTGGCACCGTCCATAACCTCACCTACTAGTATTTCCGTAACTAGACTTCCAGAATCTTCCTGTCTCTCGTTTAGCTCTTTTTCTTCATCATTCTCTTTATCATTTCAAAGAAAGGGTTTTAGGAGATTGCAAGTAGTTTCAGCGTCAATGGCGGATTCGCGTGCAAGCACTGTTCTTGTCACTGGAGCTGGTGGCAGAACCGGTATTCTCTCTCTTTGTTTCTATGGTTCACTTTGTTTCTCTTTTGTATTCTCTTTTTGGTTGCTAAGATATGCGTAGATACAGAGAGGATAAGGATTGGCTATTGCTTATCCTTAATTGAATTTTCTGGTAATTTTTCAGCCCTGTTGTATTAGTTTTAAGATGTGCCAATTGGGGTTTTTTACATTTTAGTATGGTAATTTATTTGGGTCTATGGGGTTTTGTCTTGATGTTGTATTGATGGGTTTTTTAAACATTTGCCTTGCATAGAATTTGTGGCTAGACTATCAGTGCCTATTATTATATTATTTAAAGAGAAAGTTATTCCCTTTTGTGATTTCTGATTTAAAAAACCTGATATGATCTTTCACATTTATGGGTGATTTAAAAAATCCTCATTTTTGGCATTGATTTTCCACTATGCCAAACCAATTAATGGATGTTTGGTTTCTGCTGCGATGTAAATTATCGGTACTGGGAAATTGGCTCATTCAATCCTATTTGCTAGGGTTTTTTAATTGCTCTATGATAGTGCTCAGAGTTTGTACGAGCAAAATGAAATTTTCATTTATAATGAATATTAAAACATGAAATTCAAATGAATTCACAAAATTTTGTAGAATTCATCTATATCAAACAATTGTGTTTTCACATCGAGAATTCTTTGCAGATGAAGCTATGGTAGAATCAGTCGGGGGCCTGAGAGGCTTTGATTTGAGTGTTTATATATATCCTGAGAGGCTTTGGGATTTGAGTGTTTATATATTATATATATATATATATATATATTATTTTTTTTTTTTTTTTTTTTGTTGCTCAAGTTTTTTGCTTTTCACTACTAGCCAAAAGGGAGAGAACATATTTCACGACTTCCCTCGACCTGTTTCAATCAAAAAGATGCGCTTTTGTTGTTTGTTCCTTTTTATTAACATGATTGATGGCCAACTATGGCAGGGTCATAGTTTTTATAAGAAATTAAAGGAGAGATCTGACCAGTAATGTTTGGCAAGAGGCTTGGTCAGAACTCAAGAAAGCAAAGAAAAAATTGGTGGAGCAGAGGATGTATTTGTTGGGGATATAAAGGCAACCAGAGCATCAATTCCTGCTATCCAAGGAATTGGATGCTCTCATCAATTCTTACGAGTGCGGTGCCAAAGATGAAACCTGGGTTTGATCCATCTAAAGGTGAAGGCCTGAGTTTTTGTTTTGTAAGATGGAGGCATATCCTGACAGGTAATCCTTACATTTGGCTAGCATCAATTCCTGTTACTTCATATAATTTCTTCTTTCTTATTCATTTGATACAAGACTTTTCATCTTAAGGTTGATTGGAATTGGTCAGAAAAATCAAATAGATTGCTGGTGAGGATCCATTTCCCTTGTTCAGTGATTTAGTTTTGAATTGTTTAATTACATCTTCTTTTTTTCCATTTTTTTTCCCCTGAAATCATATGTATCCATTTGAACAGCTAAGGGCTGGCAGGGGTGAAGCAAATTGTGTTGGTTGGATTCTATGGGTGGAACAATACCCTATATCCCCTGAACGTTGGGCAATGGAAATATATTGGTCCGTGATTCCTTCTATATGCTACTCAAGAATAATTACTTCCCCCCACCACCTCCTTGTTTAACCCCTTTTATTGTAGCTGCAAAGCCCTCTGTTTTGTGAGAACTAATTTGTTCTTCATTTTTTAGTTAGGACTTCTTCTTTATTTTATTTTAATCATTTAACTTTATTCCATTGAGAGGCTAAATTTGTTATCCTCCATTTTGTTTTTAGGTTTGGAAGAGAAAGGCTGAACAGTATCTCGCGGACTCTGGCATTCCATACCAATTATAAGGTTAGACATTTTGCTGCTCATTTCTGCTTTCTCAGTAGCTTTTCCCATTTCAAAAGTTGGTGTATGATGCCCTCTATATAGCCATTTTACGATAAGGTCACTAAGTTGGAATTTATATGTGTGGTGTGTTTTGTATAAACAAAATTTTTGTTTATCAAAGTCAATGGGGATGAGAACAATATGCACGTTGATTCTTGAATTTCATTTGAAATCCAAAACAGTGTAAGTCTGACCATTATCTAAATTTCTCCACAACCTTCCAATAGTATTTTCCTGTGTTATTTGGTTGTTTCCTTTGCCATTCTTTTGTTGTTCCTAATTTTTATGAGCTTTTCCTTATTGACATGAGCGCTTTTTGGATGATTAGGGCTGGTGGCTGCAAGCAAAGATGGAGGGATCCGAGAGTTTAATTGGTTTGGGCGAAAAAGATGACGAGCTACTTCAGACAGAGACAAGAAACTATTGGTAGGGGCTGATGTTTTGCAGAAGTCTGCATTCAGGTACTAGTTAAGGCATTTGCAGCTGGAACATGTAATTTTACTGGGAATTGGCGTGGATGGATCCTTTTTGCTGTTCCTTGTTTCAATTGTGTATTCATTTACATTTATATTTTTTTCCCTTCTCTCTTGACCAGGCAGATTACATATGAGGAAGCAAAATTCAAAGGCATTTGACTTGGCCTCGGAAGCCAGGGGACACAGGCACTCCAACCAAAGATTTTAAGGCTCTTCTTTTCCCAAGTTACTACCGGTTTTCTGATTCTGGGTTGTGAAAATGTCCAGTCGTATCATACTGTATTCATGTTTTTTACTTGAGAACATTATATTCACTTTCAGTTTAACTTCACCCGTTTGAATCCCTGGGTAAAACAATAACGATTAGAGGGTAAGCAAAGTAGCTGTAATGTCCACAAGTTCTTGAGACGCCTTAATGTTTTGGTCGCTAGCTCAGCGATGCATATTGATGTGCATGATTTGAGGCATCTGTAAAGTTGAAGCACGTCAATTTGAAAGTCTTTGTTTGCTCGGTGTTCCCAAGTTTTTCGTTTGCTTAGTGTTAATCGTTAAGTCTTTATTTTGTTCATTATTACCAATTCAATAGCTAATATATTTTTTTTAGATTATAACCAAATCTAGAAAACCCTGGAAAACAGGGATGGAGAAAGACTTTAACCTCCAACCACTTCACGATTACCATACTTAATGCTTAAATCAAATATTAAGAGAAATAACCTTCGCAAGTATTAGATATCAAATATCAAGACAATAATTATTTATTTATATTCTTATATTGCATTAAATATATAATATAATCATAAATAAAATCCAATAATTATACGTAAATAAATTATTAATCAAAAATATATGGAAGATATGTAATTTATTTATTATATAAATATTTTTTATATAAATGCAATTATTATTATAGATCATAATTAATTTGTATAAAATAATGATTAATAAATAATTTCGTATCGGTAATTTAATAAAACTAATATTTCAGATCATCAGATAATTGACCAATCACTATTCTTTTCAGTAAAAGCCGTCATTTTTTTTTTAAAATTAGTAATCGTGAAAGCCGAGCAATAACTGTTCAAAGTTTTTAACCAATGCCAAGGCGTCCTCAGAGTGTGGAAAAAAACGCCGTGAGGAAATGGCGTCGGTGCTTTCTGCCTTAAAACAACTTCAAATCGTATGTGTCATGTCGATTATACCGTCAATTTCAAAGCCATGGTTCAATTCTCTGAAATCTTTCCTTAAACCTGTAAGGCATAGCTGCAGCTTTAAAAACTTTCTAAAAAACCCTAAGCGCAAGACATTTACCGTTGCATCTCCAATAAATTGGATGCGGACTCGCATCAAAACAATCAACAATGGTACTTTTCTTTCTCTCTGTAAAAATCAAATACCAAACATGAAATGAAAATTAATAATTTAGGAATTCTATCTTCTCAATCAGTATGAAGAAGTGAAACAATTTGGAGTTAAAACTGGTCAACTGTCGGATGCTCAAGTTCTTAACAAAAAAGTAGTTTTTCAGTGTGTTTATTGTTTTATTTGAAATTATTTTTATTACAAAAACAAACCGAATATAATTGGATCAAGCAGGGGGAAATCTCGTTTCCGCTGTTACCGAAAAGCTGCAGATATGTTCCGAGTGTAGTGAGTATTCGGAAATGATGCTTACAAGAAATACGGTGTCGTAAAAGGCACCATCTTGACCGCTTGGCGTCTTTGTCGATGTTAAATCCTCTTTGTAATAATACTTGCCTTCTTCTTTTTCAATTGTTTTTCTTTCAATTTCCTTTTTTGCCTATTTTAATTTTGTTGTATAATTAATTTTTAGTGGGTCTGGATCGATCCTCCACGAATGGTTTGATGAGAAAATTCCACCTGAGGAATTAGCAAGAACTATAAAAAAAAAAAAAAAAGGTTCTTTTATGGCTTTCTTTTGCTTTTTTTTGGTGCTAAACTACTGGTGTCTGCACTCATTTTGACTGAACTTAAATCTTTTTTCGCACCCCGCGTGAAGCTCTCAAGTGGATGAGTGTTTCTTAGTTAAGAGATTTTTTCACTCAGACAATCTTAAACTTAAGGGCAATCAATTTGCTGAAGAGAATGGGATGTTCTTTACGAAAACATCTGCAAACTGCACTTAATGAACTTTTGTTATGAAATAGGTATTAATATATAACAATGAGTGTTAGGAGTATTCTTGCTCGTCTATATTTCACCTGTCTTTTGTAATTGTTTTTAACAACTTGGTTTTGAAATTCTTAGATAGTTTTTCCCTTACTCCTATGGTGCCAGAAAAGAGATTGGCAAGAGCTCAAACCTCCAATACTACTGGAGTGAAGATAAACATGAAATCAAAAGTACAAGAAGAAAATTCTTTGTTTGCTCTGGATGATGTATGCTGCATCTAAAAAAAAGTCCCCAGTAAAATCAATAATTGCAATCCCCTCTTGAATGGCTACTGATGCATAAAAATGTATCCATATACTTTTTTCTTAATTCCCACTAAAAAAAAAAAAAAGAATATCAAGATCATCGTTTGGGTTTCTCTTTTGTAATGTCTCTTTTAATGTCATGAGTTAAACACGAATTTTTTGTGAAGGAACTATTATAACGATGGCCCACAATAACTAAATCTGCCTGGTGGCCCAACTCTTTATAACTTCAAGCACATTCTATTATAGTAGAGAGTTCCAGAAACTTATAAATAGAACCAATTCAAACTTAACTGTCACCAAAAATCGACAGATTGAAATGAAATGGTAAAATGAAACTCGATGATCGAATTTTGTGGACGAATGCAAATATCCAAACCCATGTTTAAATATCAGAGATTCACATTTTAAATCCGGAATCTATTTTAAGAAAAAATCAGGTTCGAAATCAATACACCTACAAGTCTAAATTTTTTATTACACCACAAACAAATTGCAAACAAAAAAACAATTGATTAAAATTGGGCAAAAAATATTAGGCCCAATTGGCTCCATTCAAGTTCACAATTAATAAACCTTGAAATTTAGAAACATCAAAACGCAAGCCTGCCATCAACAACAGCCGGTTCAAAAATCATCTTACAGAGCGGGTAAAAAAGAAAATACAAATTCAAACAACTTGACCAAAAAGTTTGTAAATATCTGTACGAAAAAACCGGCAACAAGTACAATCTCGTACCTGCCAACATCCTAGCCAAAGGTCAATCAACCCATTAGCTAATTCCAATTATGTTGTGAGTATAAAGGTCCCCAAAATAAGGTTACGCAGTGATTTGTGGTTATACTTATAGGGACCATTTTGGTCAAGGAACTAGAAAAGATTATCTTCGCCAACATTTAGCCCTCCTTGATTGCATCAAAACAGCAAAATGCAGTCCACGGACAGCAAGGCTCTAAGAGATGCAAAATTTGGGAAATCTCATTTTGCCTCTCTACTAATTATATATATATATATATATTATATATATATATTGTGGGGCTTAAAGGTGTGCTTTATATGCCCAATTGTTGTAACGATAGTAAAGTTTGCAAGACAGGATAATCAAAAGATAACTCTGGAGAATCACGAACTCAAAAGTAAAAGGTCCACTTTCAGTTCTCCTCCACTTTAAAATGTCAACATTGGTGCATTGCTGGCTATGATGGGGTAATTTGATAATTAGGAACAATGATTATGTGCACTTTAAACCTACGAACAAGTCGACTACATGGGTTACGATTCTTTTGCCTCAGTCATAACAATATATATCTTGGTGCCAACCGTTCCTTCCCACTTTATCCTCCTCATACATTTTTCTGGAATTCTTCAAGAATTAAGACTGGTTACTTCATTTACTCCTAGATTGTTGGTACGTTGTGACCATCTGTAGCAATCAGTCCGACCATCAAAATATCCTGTCAGTCGCCAGAAGAGATTATACATTTGTAATGATGAATAAATAAGGAGATAGAATATTAGGAAAGAATAAAAGGTATAAAAAGAACACACTTTGGTTCTAAATTGTCTATGTCAGAATCGCCTAAAGCTGAGTGTGTAGTAACTGTAAATATAGATACGTGTGCAGTTCAGGTTTCTACATAGGTCTCAGACAGAGGAGGCTATTAAGAATCCGACCTTCCATCCTACAGCAGCCACCTGGCCATCCTCATAATTAGGAATCTTTGTGGTAAAAGCTTCCTCAGCTTTATCAGTTGCTTGCTTGACAATCTCTTTGTTCAAAAGACAACTGCACAAACCAAGCATTCAGGACGAGCCTGCCATTGTTTGTATGTTCCGGCCTCACTCCACCTCTCCAACTTTCACAAGCGACACATTTAATGCTCTGCCAAGACTTTCTTTCTCATCACATCCTCTGCTTATCCTCAGGGGCACAAGTAGTGTCGAAGCATATCAAAACATTGAAGAGATTGAAATATGAGCTTTCTGCGACCTTGTTAACAAAGATGGAGCATTGTAAGCCCATTTGTAATTCGTGAAATGAAAATATCAGGATTAATCTTCTTTACCTAAACCAAGAATCAATATTTTGGGAACTGTGTACCACACTGTTTCATCCAGTAAGGTTTCCTAGCCCGATAAAAACAGGTAACAATGATGACTTCTTCTTCTGTCAATTCTTGAGATCCTCAAGTTTATGGTTTCCCATTTTTTTTGCTATGCATTAGTACTCACGGCAGTTAACCTTCTTAGCATAAGTTGCCAGCGACGCCCTGTTTTTTCTTTCAACTCTCTCTGCTTGGCGAAAACCAGGTTGGGGAAAATCTATTCCAGTTTCCGACATTGGGTGGTCCACCAGATCTCCATGAAGCCGGCTCGAAAATAGAGTCGGCCATTGGAACCATCAGGATACCGAAATCTATGATATGGAGCCTCATTGAATTTGCTGATAGATTTCTCGTTTGTTAAGACAAATTAGAGAGCTTTTCTGAAAGGGCTGCAGCAAGAAAAAAATTAATAAGAAATGGTAAACTTTCCGAATCAGCAGTCGATTTGTTTTCTTGCTAAGTAAAGCTTTGTAAATCTGGCTACAGTACCTGCAGGCGTGCCTCAAGAGCATCAGCAAAGCATGAGCCTCTCTGATTCCCATCTCCAAACGGAGAAGATGTTGCCTACATGCTTTAAGCAAATTCATTTGCATTCCCTACGATCATCAGCTGCCCACAGCTTGCGCACATTAATCAAAGGGTTCCTCAAATCCACCACTTTCCTTTCTGCCAGTAGTTTTCTTTACGTCGACACCTATTCCACCACCACTTCGACTCCTTCCTTTTGTTGCCGTTCAGATCATTTTTTTTGTTGCATTCTTTCAATGCCTCAAAAGATCCTTGAAATCTTTCCCAACCTTACCACACCCCGCCCACTATTAAGCAACAATTCCCTCTCAAACACATGAGGTTCCCATGTTGGATTCAGTATACGCCGCGACTTGCTGCCTACTCCTCCTTCTTCTATATCTCCATCCTCCCATAAGGATCCTTCTTACCTTCGGCAACCAGATGAAAGCACTCTCCTTCATTCTTCCTCGCTCTCCTTAATCAATACTCACTACTTTCACTTAACTTTGGGCTCTTTACATAAAAA